CTGTCACTGTTGCATACGAATGTAAGCATAAAGAATATGTATAGCAAAAGTGTCAGTCTCCAATAAAACTCTAAAGCGAACAGACGCACGGCGGTCCGCGACTATTGTCTTTTACTTTACTCCTACTGAGCCCTTCCCTTTTCAGCGAATATATAATCTATTCAATAGGTTATGGGCCCAGGGCATATAGGCTCATAGGAGAAGTTCAAAGTATTGTGAAATAGTAATCGTTTGGTGACTCAAGAAATATAACATTTAAAAAATGAGTGCGCTATATCAAATAGACAAATTGGAAGAGCATAACTATGACTCATGGAGCATACAGATGCGATCTGTCTTAGTGCACGCGGAATTGTGGAGTGTGGCATCAGGTGCTGAACCTAGTAATACTGAGAGTTCAAGGCCAAAAGATGAAAAGGCATTAGCAATTATAACGCTAAGTGTAAAAGCTTCACAATTGGGCTTCATTAAAAATTGCAACACTTCGTACGAGGCATGGAAAAAGTTAAAGGACGTTCATCAGCCGAGTGGACCTGTACGGAAAGTGTCGCTGTACAAGAAATTGCTAGGCAAACGCATGTTTCAAGGCCAAAGCATTTCAAGTTACATACACGAATTTAACGAAATTCTGGATGGTTTGTGTACAGTTGGCATCGAATTAAATGATGAGTTAAAAACAATCGTGTTGTTGTCAAGCTTGCCCGAACCATACGAAAATTTTGTCGTCGCCATTGAGACGCGTGACAATTTACCGTCATTTGATGTGTTATGTATCAAGCTGATGGAAGAGGGAGAGCGCAGAGGCAATGCAGATGGAGAGAGCGAGAATGCAAGAGCATTTATAGCTACGCAGCAGATCGTCGCGCATTCCAAAGCGAATTCAAAAAGGAATTCAAAAATCGTCGTTTGCTACAACTGCGGCGAAAAAGGGCACTACAAGGCACAGTGCAAGCGTGAGAAAATTCGCGGTGAAGGGAAAAAGCAATCGACAAAGAAAGAGATGGAAAAGCAGAGCAGCTTGTTAAATGCGTTGGACGTTGGAAAGATAGAGAACAACATGTGGTGTCTGGACAGCGGAGCAACAAGCCATATGTGTTGCGATAAGACGTTATTTTCAAAATTTATTGCGCACACTGAAATGATCGGTTTAGCTGACGCTGGTTTCCTGAAGGCCGAAGGCAGAGGAGAGGTGAAGTTACAGACAGAACTTTGTACCTTGGTGTTGTCAGATGTACTGTATGTACCGAAAATGAATGGCAACTTTATGTCCGTCAGCCGGTCAGTGCAAAAGAACAATGTTATACATTTTGGGCCACATTTTGCTAAAGTTATACAAAACGGCGAGTGTATACTGAAAGCGAATAAAGTTGGGAACCTTTATATGTTTCAAGGCAAACAAAATAGGTGTTATTCCGCAACTGAATCAGATGGTACATTGTGGCATAAGCGTTATGGCCATTTAAATTTTACCAGTCTGAAGGAAGTGATCAGCAAAGAGCTAGTGCGTGGTATTGGAAAGGTTTTTTTCCCAGACAACTTGAATTGCAAAACGTGTATGCTAAGCAAAATACATGTACAGCCATTCCCAAAGGTAAGCACTAACCGTGCCGAAGAGCTGTTGGAACTGGTTCATGCTGATGTATGCGGCCCATTCGACACGAAGTCACTTGCTGGATCCAAATACTTTCTGACCTTCATCGATGACAAGTCCAGGCGTATATTTGTTTATTTTTTGCGGAAGAAAGATGAAGTGTTCAGTAAGTTCGTCGAATTTAAAAACTTGGTTGAACGGCAAACAGATAAAAAGCTCAAATGTATTCGAACCGACAATGGAGGCGAGTTTGTCAACACAACATTCAACGGTTTCCTGAAACACCATGGTATTGCAAGGCAATTGACCGTGGCTTATACTCCGCAGCAGAACGGCGTGGCGGAAAGAGCAAACCGGACATTAACGGAGATGTCCAGATGCTTATTGGTGCAGTCGGGCCTAGGCGAGTCTTTGTGGGCCGAAGCAGTCAACACAGCAGTATACATAAGAAACAGATCACCTACCAGTGCACTGAACAACCTGACTCCAATGGAAGCGTGGACAGGTAAGAAACCCTGTGTTAGCCATCTAAAAGTTTTTGGTTCCATTGCAGTTGCACTTGCAAAGGGTCCCCGTAAAGGCAAATTCAAACCCAAAGGGCATGAGTACCGTATGGTTGGGTATTCGGTAGCAGCCAAAGGCTATCGGTTATACGACCCAGAGACGAGGACGATTGTCGAAAAACGAGACATTCTATTTGATGAGCGTTGTGGTGGTCATACCAATGAAGATACCGTTACGGTAGATTTTCCTGCATGCGAGGTTCAAGAGCATGTCACTCACACGGATGGTGACAGAAGCATCGACGACGATGACAGTGAGCACAGTTCTGACGACAGCAGCTCCAACGCATATGAGAGTGCAGTCGAAAAAGAAGACTCTGACGAGGATACTGTGAAGATTGGGCCAGGCCGGCCTAAAATTGTTCGAAATGGTAAACCTGGTCGTCCAAGAAAGCAATACAATGTGCTTGGAGCATTGGTTGCTAGTGACGTAATGGTTCCGACATCCTATGATCAGGCCGTTGGTAGCACACATGCAGTATTCTGGCAAGAGGCGATGCAAAAGGAATATCAGGCACTACAATCAAACGAAACCTGGCAGATGGCTGATTTACCAAAAGATCAGCGAGCAGTTGGTTGCAAGTGGGTATACAGCCTGAAACGTGACTCTGATGGAAAAGTCGAACGTTTCAAGGCACGACTCGTTGCTAAAGGGTGCTCCCAGAAGTATGGCGTGAACTATGTAGAGACGTTCTCACCCGTTTGCAGATTGGAAACCGTGCGGTTTATTTTGGCGTTAGCAGCGGAATTGAAGCTGTACCTTCACCAGATAGATGTGTGTACCGCCTATTTGAATAGCGACCTGCATGAAACTGTTTATATGAAGCAGCCACAGGGATACACAGATCCCAATAATCCAACATGCCGATCAAAAGAGGACTTGGCCAACATCAAGTCAGCCATTACAACATCGTTTTGAATGTGTTGACAAGGGAGAGCTGCATTTGTTCCTTGGCATGGAAGTGCAGCGCGACGGTGAGCTTGGCGAAATTTCGCTAAGCAATTCGCAATACATCAAAGACATATTGCGTGAACATGGATGCGAGACCTGTAGACCTACAGCGACCCCACTGGATGCTGGTTTCCAAGTGATATGTACCAGCGAGCATTGTCAAAAGGTTGACATTGCATCCTACCAGTCTTCAATTGGCGAGTTAATGTGGCTGGCGCTTACAACAAGGCCAGACATATTGCATTCCGTTGCCAAGTTAGCTCAACGGAATCAAGATCCGCATGCAGAGCACCTAGTGGGTGTAAAACATGTGCTTCGATACCTGGCGTCAACTGTGGACCTGAAGTTGCACTACAAAGAGTGTGGACAACCCCTTACCGGCTATGTGGATGCAGACTGGGGTGGCGACCGCATCGATCGCAAGTCGTATACTGGCTATGTATACTACTTGGCTGGAGGACCCATATCCTGGCGATCTGAAAAGCAACGCAGCGTGGCACTTAGCAGCACGGAGGCGGAGTATATGGCTCTTTCAACTGCGTGTAAGGAGGCCATATACCTACGGCGTCTTATAGTGGAGATTGGCTGCGGTGACTCGAGTACTCCAACTATTCTTCATGGCGATAATTTAAGTGCTCAACAATTAGCTAAGAATCCTGTACACCATGAAAGAACAAAGCATATTGATATTAGATATCATTTTGCAAGACAGGTTGTAAACGAAGAACAAATTGTTTTACAGTATACATCAACCAATGAAATGATAGCTGATATTTTAACGAAAAATCTCCCTAAAGCGAAGCATGTTCATTTTACAAAGCTGTTAAATTTGATTTGAAAATTTTTGTAAAACATGTTTGCATTGAGGAAGGGTGTTGAAAATCAATACAAACATAAGTACCAATGCACGCATGTTAATATAAGCAGATAATAATCTTATGTTATCTACAAGTTATCTGTCACTGTTGCATACGAATGTAAGCATAAAGAATATGTATAGCAAAAGTGTCAGTCTCCAATAAAACTCTAAAGCGAACAGACGCACGGCGGTCCGCGACTATTGTCTTTTACTTTACTCCTACTGAGCCCTTCCCTTTTCAGCGAATATATAATCTATTCAATAAGCTGTTGTGTATTGGATATTTTGATTGTGACGCCTATAAATAGACTATTCATGCCCAAAAAGAGTCGTGCAATTTAGTCAAAACTATTGTCAAACAATTTGGCAACCATGTCATGCGATCTATAATTTTTATGGCAGCTATAGAGGCGGACACTTGATGAATTTCCTAGAATGCTTATATTGCTTGTAATGTGATTGCGATGTGTTACAAAATTTTGAAAAAAAATCACTTAAACTATATATAACAACTCATCTGAATAAATGATGTGTTTATCAATTAACTTCCAATAAACACATTTTCTGGACTGATTAAAAGATTGTTAGTCTATCATTTTGTTCTCGTATAAGCTGCTAGGGAGCTCGTTCAAAATTGTAACTAGACTTCAAAAAGCGAATGTTTAAGACAAGCATGCAGACAAGTAAAAGTTTCAAACAAACTCTGCACAAAAAAATCAAGTAATGTTTTAGCCTTTCAGTGGTTTTGAGGAGGTTGCTTTAAAGTTAATATTCTGTATGGGTAGATATTTAGAGCTTTAAAAAAGTTGAGGAATACTAGAGGAAATAAACAACCAATTATATCATCTTTTTCATATGTAGATATAAAATCCAATGCTAATCAAATAATAGGAATTGTGAAGCGAGTAAAGAGAGAATTGAAATGCTAAGGAAAATGTGGGTTTTGTGCGCGTGACTCACGCAATGACGACACCTGGTCACGCGCCCACCGCTATTATAATTTGCCCCCCCGCCCCAATCACCAATCGCACTTACCTTCACATTGACGTTGATGCTGCCTTTCGATGCCTTCATATGCGGTCGAGGACTTCCAGCAGTCCTGGGAGGACTTTTGTGTCGGCGTCTGACGCATGCTGCCGCATATATGTGAGCCTATATGCGCATAAATATTCCAGTCCGTATGTTAGGCTATGGCTCATGCCATAAACACAATCACAATCACAATTAAGACGAAATCACAAAAAAGAAAAGAAAAAACTGCTTGATAGCCAAATTTGATGAAACGCGTCACGCACTTCCAATCCCCGACGAGATCCTTGGGATCTTATTCGTTGTAATTTTGACTCGGTCCCGAATGGAGTTTCTCTCTGTGTGTGGGTGTGTGTGTGTGTGTGTATGTGTGTGCATATGTTCGCCTTGCCTGTGTATTTGTGGGTGCGTGTGCGTGTACGTGTGTGTAAGAGAATTTAATACTTTTGATATTATTTAGTTGTCGTCCCTTGGTTTTGTTCGATTTTGTTGTGATGTAGCTACACAAGGCAAATGAAAACGCACGGCGCACTCGATGTGATGAAAAGTGGAAAATAAAACAAAAACCACAGCCACAAATGAAACTAAAACCAAAAACGATTGTGTGTAGAAAAGATGACAACTAGTACGAGAACGGCGACTATCAGCAAAATGCGAAGAGCATGTGGAGCAAGTGTCGATGCCAAAACGGCCGGCCGCTGGCAACTGATTTGCCGGCTCAGGCCCCAGAACGCTCCTCATGACAATGCGCTCTGCCAAAATGCGACTGCAGAGGCAGAGGCAGAGGCATTGGCATCGACACTCGGCCTGCGGCTGTGGGTGGCAAACAAATCAAAGCGAATTAGTTGCATTAGTGGCAGCTATCAGCGGTAGGTTGGCGAATAAAAAATACAGCAACAACAACAAATATTAAACTGGCAGGCTGGCTTAGGCTCAAAACTAACGCCAGCGCCTCTAAATGAAATGAATGCCTGCCTGCCTGACTAACAGACTGGCTGGCTGGCTGGTTTGCTCGCTGGCTCAATGGCAAGCCTTGGGCGCTGGGCCCAACTTGGCGTGCATATAATAAACAGGAACTGATTATGTGCCATTAAAATTGGCTGCCAATTGGCAAAGTTTAGCCTACATACATAAAGGAACAGCCAGAGAGTGAGAGAGAAAGTCCATAAAAAAGGAAGAAGAGCATGACTCGATGACTTCCACTGATGTCAGCTGCACCGAGAGAAATCATATCCAGCACAAACCCAAAGATTGCTTTTTAATCTCCCCACTCTCCACTGTCTCTCCACTGTCATTTCACTAAAATGCGCCAAACATTCCTTTGGCAACACTTCTGTAGTTTAATGGCATCTTAGGATATGATTCTATATTATAAACACCTAACAAGTTCTTCTTACTTAGCGTAGTTTCTGCAAAGATTGTTTAGATATAATTTCTGAATACATATTAATGGGTATGTTAAAGAACTTAAATATATGATATCTTTATAAACAACAAAGGTCTAGTTTTCCCATTTTAACAAAGTATACATTTTACGAATTCCTTAAATGGCTTAGTTTTGGTTCTTGAGACGCGTCCTGTAGAGGAAAACATATCTTATTTGCAATCCAAATGCAAGCCTTTAAAATTCAAGTACATATCCCTCTCATAGGTCCCTATGTTGATAAAATTGCGCTGATGTGATTTTTAGTATTATCTATTTGTATAAAATAATAAGAAGACACAGTTGTAAAAGTCTTTTCGTAAACCTGTTCCTAATCTGATCTAATTGATCTGCTTTATCCCTAAAGTGCGTTACACATTTTACGAACCTAGACTTCCAAACCAATTATGTTAATATAGGTGACGAAATTGTATACCTTGAACCGGGGGGATGACCGAAATTCTCTATTTTTGCTCAGTGCTTCACACAATCCAACTGCTTGCAGTTCAAACTGTGCGCACACGGCAGTTCAAAGTTCAATGCATTGTGTTTGCGACACGCACGCCTTCAAGCCCAGGCACACACAGTCTCTGCAACAATGACGGTGCACCTAGGACCCCCGCCCCAATGCCGCTCCCTCCTTTGAGCTGCGCAAGTTTGCGATATTGCTACAATTTCCACACATGTCGAGCAATGCTAAACGCAACTTTGACATTTCGGGTGGGTCGACTCTATGGCGTTAATAGCTCTGCGCCCCAGCCTGTCAGATCGGTCTACCTGGTCTACCTGTTCTGGCCTAGCCTGGTCGGTTGGTCGTGGCATGCATTGGCAGCCGGAGTCATGATTCAGGCACTGATGTGTTAAAAATATATGTGCACATGTGATGGTCGAGAAAGGACCAACGGGAAGTGGAGTAGTGGGAGGGGGAGGGGGAGGGGGAGGAAGGGAAGCAGACGAAGTCGAAGTCGATGCCAGCCATCAAGCTGAAATGAAATATCGGCCTGGGCCAGAAAGCGGGCAAATGAACTATGAACTTTGCCATGCAGACGCATGGCAGCACATACACGCATATAGATATGTATCTACATATATGTACATATACTTGTATACCTATGTATGTGTATTTGTGTGTGTGTGCGCGCCGTATGCGTGTTTTAAACTTTGCACCAAGCCAAAGTAAATTTGCATAAAGTTCGACTCGGCTTGAGTTCGGTGAGCGCCTTCTGTTTCTTTTTTGAAAATATATTTTTGCATATGTCAGAACTGCTCACAAAGTGCGTCAGTGGTGATATATGAAGTTGGCTCGATATTTCCAGCACTGATGGAATGCCAAAGCCGGACGGACTTACGTAAAAGAAATGAAATTCGTTTCATGTTGAAGGGAAAACCCTTGCCCCCCCCTCCATCGAGCAAACTTGAAGTGCCCACAAATGTGTACCTCTAAGTTATCCAAAGTAATGCCACGTAACTGAAGGAGCTGCTGTTATCGCAACTAAACAATGCTTACACCATTTGCACAACTAATTAGTTTAATTTGTGGATTGTTCAGAACACCCTAATCTTCGAAAGCAGTCCATCTTTCTGAAATGCAACAACAGTTGGGGGCAGAGATTACATTTTTGGGAAGGAGGGAAATTCCAAAACATACATTTTCTGCGTATTCACATACGGCCTTTTGGACTAAAAATTTGATGTCCCTAGGTTTTATAGTCTCCGAGATATAGGTGATTATACAAACGGAAAATCGGGAAATCCCCCATAGGGGGATCCAAAAAATAAAACAAACTTGTATAGCGTACACACATAAGGCACATTTGTTCAAAAGTTGGCGTCTCTAGCTGTTTTAGTCGCTGAGATGTAGGTGTTCATACGGACAGACAGACGGACAAACAGACAGAACTAGATCCACTCGCCTTGTCATACTGAGAATACTTTGTGTATACTTTGTGTATACTTTGTGCCTCCCTCTGCCTGTTATATTTTTCATTTCCCGCAAACCCAATATACTCTTGCACATTTCATGTACAGAGTATAGAAAACGTTAGTAAAGAACAAATTTTATACAATTTTTGAACATGTTTATTTATTTTGATGGATTCCTGAATATTTTACGACTTCAATTAAAAATGTATTTTATTGCTCTATCAGCTCTTGCAACCTATTTTCAACCCAAACAATTTACAGTTTCCACGAGAATCTAGCTCTCCTTTGCACTTCTCATAGCATACGTTTATGGATAGACATCGATTCGTCCTACACTTACATTTTGTAGTAATTTATTCCTAATCTATAATCTATGAGTTCTACGTATGACATTACATTCCTGCAACCTAGAGTCCTTACAAAACTAAACTCCTATTTGCGCTTCTCTCGGGTTACATTTATTGCTCCATTGGCATTGTGAGTACCTTTTGTTTTAAATTGAAAGATTAAGATTACGGATTACGGTTTTGGTGCAGAGCCGTAATCAGCACCCGCATTTGGATTTGTTGTTTTTGTACGTCATTAGTCACAAAAATAGTCAGCCATCTATTTATAGACATCGGGCTACGTCAGTGGGAAAGTTTTGAGCGTTGCTCTTGTTTGATCAATAGCGCAGTCATAGGCTGAACCGCAACGACGACAACAACAACAACAACAACAGCAATAAATAGCAACAACAGCAACAGCTTTGTCGACGACAGTCAATAGGAAAACGTCGTCGGCCCATCTAGGCAGGCCTACGAAATGCGAGTTCTGCAACAGGAATTTCGACTGCAGTGACAATTAAATGAATTGAACGCTCATTCAAGGTAAACAATTGTTCTCATTCCAGTTAATAACTGCCGATTTTTTTTTTTTGCTTTTTTTGAACTGACAATAAGAAGCCACTGGCGCGGTCCAATAAGCCTGGCAACTTAACTAACGAATTATAAAAAATTTATAACAACAAAGAACACGGAATAACGAATAAGACAAGAAGCAACCATGGGCCGCAAAATAACGGTCGCCATATCGACGCTGAACCAATGGGCGCTCGATTTTGAAGGCAATCTTGCGCGAATATTGCAATCCATATTGGAAGCCAAAGATATGGGCGCCTCATATCGCACTGGACCGGAGTTGGAGGTGTGGTAAGTACCTTTTAAGTTCTATTGAATGGCCAGCAGGTTAGCTAACCAAAACATAATGTCTTCCCCACAGTGGTTACAGTTGCGAGGATCACTTTCGCGAACCGGACACATATTTGCACTCTTGGGAGACACTGCTCGAGATAATGATGTCGCCCATCTGGTAGGTTCAGTAAAACTATTCTTCAATATGGTTTTGTGAAATAATATTGTGAATCTTTAACGAAAACTACTTGCTAAACTATTTCAAATCATTCACAAATTTATATTTGACGCTCTCCTATGCGATTCTCATATCAATTATGACATCTTTACGTAATTGTTTGTGTTAATCGTTATTCAAATGAAATATATTTTTCAGTTTAGTAAAACTAAAACTAACTATTCTTTAAGTTAGTTTTGTGAAATAATATTTTGAATCTTTAACGAAAATACTTGCTAAACTATTTCAAATCATTCACAAATTTATATTTGACACTCTCTTATGTGATTCTCATATCAATTATGACATCTTTATGAAGTTGTGTTAATCGTTACTCAAATAAAATATATTTTTCAGTTTAGTAAAACTAAAACTAACTATTCTTTAAGTTAGTTTTGTGAAATAATATTGTGAATCTTTAACAAAAATACTTGCTAAACTATTTCAAATCATTCACAAATTTATATTTGACGCTCTCCTATGCGATTCTCATATCAATTATGAAATTGTTTGTGTTAATCGTTACTCAAATAAAATATATTTTTCAGTTTAGTAAAACTAAAACTAACTATTCTTTAAGTTAGTTTTGTGAAATAATATTGTGAATCTTTAACAAAAATACTTGCTAAACTATTTCAAATCATTCACAAATTTATATTTGACGCTCTCCTATGCGATTCTCATATCAATTATGATATCTTTACGAAGTTGTGTTAATCGTTACTGAAATAAAATATATTTTTCAGTTTAACAAAACTAAAACTAACTATTCTTTAAGTTAGTTTTGTGAAATAATATTGTGAATCTTTAACGAAAATACTTGCTAAACTATTTCAAATCATTCACAAATTTATATTTGTTGCTCTCCTATGCGATTCTCATATCAATTATGATATCTTTACGAAGTTGTGTTAATCGTTACTCAAATAAAATATATTTTTCAGCTGAGTAAAACTAAAACTAACTATTCTTTAAGTTAGTTTTGTGAAATAATATTGTGAATCTTTAACGAAAATACTTGCTAATCTATTTCAAATCATTCACAAATTTATATTTGACGCTCTCCTATGCGATTCTCATATCAATTATGATATCTTTACGAAGTTGTGTTAATCGTTACTGAAATAAAATATATTTTTCAGTTCTTCAATATGGTTTTGTGAAATAATATTGTGAATCTTTAACGAAAATACTTGCTAAACTATTTCAAATCATTCACAAATTTATATTTGACGCTCTCCTATGCGATTCTCATATCAATTATGACATCTTTATGAAGTTGTTTTTGTTAATCTTTACTTTACTCAAATCTTGCAGAGAAAGGCAGTTATTGTAAGAGAGATATTTCAATTCAAGCACGATGTGTCGATTTAGCCGGCGGCTATTAGAGTAGTTTCTCAATTAACAATAAATTCAAAAAGGCTAAGACTGTAGATGTTATTTCAACTAATATTGTAGCTCTTCAAGGTGAAGTTTTTCTTTAATTTAATGATCTCATTTCCCCTTCCCTGATCGCAGCGAAAATATGCTGGTGGACGTGGGCATGCCAGTGATGCATCGGAATGTCGCCTACAATTGTCGGGTGGCCTTCTACAATCGCCAACTGCTGCTGATACGCCCCAAGATGGCGATGTGCGACGATGGAAACTATCGAGAGTCGCGGTGGTTCACAGCCTGGACGAAGTCCCTGTACACAGAGGACTACGTGCTGCCACGGATGATTGCCCAGCATACGGGCCAGGACACTGTGCCCTTTGGCGATGCCGTGATTGCCACCAAGGATACGTGCATTGGCTACGAGATATGCGAGGAACTGTGGAATGTGCGCAGCAAGCATATAGAAATGTCGCTGTCGGGCGTTGAGCTGATCGTGAATGGCTCGGGGAGTTACATGGAATTGCGTAAGGCCCATATTACCACCGATTTGATACGTAATGCCAGCTTCAAGGCAGGCGGCGCCTACCTATTCAGCAATCTACGCGGCTGCGATGGGCAACGGGTGTACTTCAATGGGTGCTCGGCTATCGCATTGAATGGCGAGATCATAGCACGCAGTCGTCAATTTGCCTTACAGGATGTGGAGGTGACGTTGGCCACCATTGATCTGGAGGAGATACGCGCCTATAGAGTATCGCAGCGATCGCGTTGTACGGTGGCTGCTTCGGCGCCCACTTATCCGCGCATTCATTGCGACTTTGAAATGTCCACACACAGTGATATTTTCAAAACATCGACGCCTCCACTTCAGTGGGTGTATCACACGCCCGAGGAGGAGATTGCCTTGGGTCCGGCCTGTTGGCTGTGGGATTATTTGCGTCGCTCCGGCCAGGGCGGCTTCTTTTTGCCCCTGAGCGGTGGTGTGGACTCGAGCAGTTCTGCCACTATTGTGCACAGCATGTGCCGCCTGATTGTGCATGCCGTACAGCATGGCGATGCTCAGGTGCTGCATGATATACGCAAGATATTGGCTGACACGGACTATACGCCGGATAATGCCGCCGCCTTGTGCAATCGTCTGCTCGTCACCTGCTTTATGGGCAGCGTGAACTCCAGCAAGGAGACGCGTCGTCGTGCCTCGCAACTGGCCAATCAGCTGGGCAGCTATCACATTGAGATCAGCATTGATTTGGCTGTGAACGCGCTGCTCAGCATCTTCAATACGGTTACAGGCTTGACGCCAAGATTCCGCACCCAGGGTGGTTGTGCGCGACAGAATCTGGCATTGCAGAACATACAGTCGCGTATTCGGATGGTGCTGGCCTACATTTTTGCGCAGCTCATGTTGTGGGTACGCAATCGACCCGGCGGCTTGCTGGTCCTCGGCTCGGCCAATGTGGATGAGTCGCTGCGTGGATATTTGACCAAATACGATTGTTCCTCAGCAGACATTAATCCCATTGGCGGCATTTCAAAGACGGATCTGCGGCGTTTCCTAAACTATGCCAAGGACAAGTAAGTAGCCGTTCATTTGAAACCTTGTTTAAAGCGGTGTCCTCAAACCCTTACCTTCACCTGCATTTTTCGATTGGGGACCTTATGCTTAATGCAATAAAATACTATTCGTACTTATATGGGGACTGGGTATAATTGTTGAACTACTAAGTTTAAAAGGGAGCATAAGTTTAACCTTTAACCGCTTGATTAGAACTTTAATTTCATCTTTGCTTTGTCTTTGCTTGCTGATTGGCGAGTCCATTAAGTTGAATCCTATGTTGCATTTCAGGTACAATGTGCCAGTGCTGGGTTCTATAATTGAAGCACCCCCCACCGCTGAGCTCGAGCCATTGCAGGAGGATGGCCAGCTAATGCAGACGGACGAGCAGGACATGGGCATGACGTATTCAGAGTTGAGCGAGTATGGGCGTTTGCGTAAACAGGCTTTCTGTGGTCCCTACAGCATGTTCTGCAAGCTGGTTGCCACATGGAAGGGAGATCTGAGTCCTAAAGAGGTAAGCCCGTAGAGCTATCTTAAATCACGTTCAATTCCCACTCTCTCGCTTAGGTGGCCGACAAGGTGAAGCATTTCTTTCGCTGCTATGCTATCAATCGACACAAGATGACGGTGCTGACACCTTCGGTGCACGCTGAGAGCTACAGTCCGGACGACAATCGCTTTGACCATCGACCCTTCTTGTATCGCGCCAATTGGAGTTGGCAATTCAAGGCCATTGACGACGAGGTGGACAAGTTGCAGCCCATCTACACGCCTTCCTCGTCGCATATGCGCCCCAGCAGCGAAGATCTGCTGCTCTCGCACGATGCCACCACCACCACCACCCATCGTTCCTCGCATCTGGACTCCAAGCACTCGTCACCCCTCTCTTCGGCCTCGTTGGGTGATGTGGGCGTGAGCACCGCGGCCGTGGGATTAGTAGATACTGCTCCCCTGATCGGCCCTGCGGCTAGTGGCAGCTTGGGCGCGCTGGGCAAGAAGAGCAGCGGCTACTCGAAGGTGCACGTGAATGTGCTGGGCAAGATCAAGGACCGTACCGGCATCCCAGTCTAGAATTGGTCTTGGCAATGGAAGGACGTTGCAGTCTTCGTTAGCTGCTTGGTCTGCTAGTGTCTTAAATATTTTGCACACTGTTCATTTTTTTTTACACATTTACAGTTGTAGGTAATAGATATATACATATATAGGATGTAGGTGTGAGCGGCACCTTACAAATAATTCATTAATGTGCCCAGTTTAACGAAAAAGTTGCTAGTCATGCCTCTGTTCTACTACTCTTCAGAAAGTAGCACGAAAAAAATGTCACGAAAATAATAACAATTGGGTATAGCCTGCGCCACCTTTGGCCTTAATTGACTAACTAAACGAACTATAGGTAATAGCTTTCCTTATGATGATACATATTCAGCAATTAGTGCTAAATCTGTGCTTCGTACAGTAGATATAGGTTCTATATAGAGCCTTATTACTAAATCGCCATATACAATGCATGCAAGGAATTAAAAATAAATCCGTTTAGATGTAGGTTGAAAAGTTTTCATCTGAATTCAATTCAATTTTAAAAGCATATTAATTAAATAAATTTTATCAAGTTACGCTTGACTACTTCTACTTTGCCTTTATTCAATCATTTCACAATCTTTTTCAAATTGTTTAAATGTTTAAACATCCGATAATTCGAACCCAAGCAGAATATGCAATATGTCCCGCTTAATTATTTTCTTTCTTCTTCTAAATCTTTGGAGAATCTTTTCAAACTGAATTGACATATGCAAGCCTTCTTTACTTGACGCATTGAGAAGCGCGGCATCCATTTATTTGTATTGCAGGATTGTTACTGTTTCTGTAAAGAAACTTGCTTCGATTCCCCTGAGCTGTGTCGTCTGTTTGTAAAGCAATCATTTCTAGTTTCCAGATGCGAGTTTCCCGACGTTTGTCGACCTCATCATACCACAGTCAATTATTAATCAGCAAATATTTGTGCACGTTTCGAAACTGCAAATTATTGTTATCAGTGTCTGTAAGCTTTCGCATATAGCCCATATTTACTGTACAGTTGAGCGCCTCAACACGCGTTTCTGCCCCACACGCACAGATTGTTGATTCTAATAATCTAATCGTAGGCCACTAAGAAAAGAGCACTAATTGTCGAATACACAGCGACAAAAATGCCTCGCAAAATACTGAAAGTAATGATAAAAAATATGATATGTATATTGAGATCAGTTCAGCAAATAGTTGCCCGAGCTCGATAGATGTTGGATAACTAAAATGTAGTTGGTTTCCTCTAAACTCCACCAAATATAGGAAAATCAATATTCGTAGATATGTTGTTTGTTTGCGAGACATTTTTTTTTTAAATTTCGCGTCTTTCTTATTTGTGCACCTGCCGGGGGTATAAATAATACACCCTATATAGTAGCTAACATCAATTTGTATCTATATATTTATATTTATGTATTTGCCTTCAATGCGAAATGTTTCCTTATGACATCAAATCAAATTTTCCAAAATGTTAATCATACTAAACTAGTTAGTCTAAACAATTTTTTAATGGATTTGGCATTGTAAACTGTTGTTATTTTTATTCTTGTTACTCCCAACTATTCTCTTTATGGGCATAGCAAAAAATGTGTAGTCATAATCATTTTTAAAATGTACACGCATGTAGAGAAAAAAAACGAACAAAAAAATATATATATGAGAACTTTTGTAGTTTGATATTGCACATCAAAAATGACGAAATGAGAGTGGTTTTTACTCTTCGGGCACTGGCTGTGGTTGCTGCCACAAATCCTCGATCCGGACCCCTGGTAGTTCGCCCGTCCAGGAAATGACGATTCGATAGTGTCGGCCACTCAGTCTGCGCATGATGCGAGCATTAAGTGACTTGCCATGCAGATGATCGACAACCCGTCCCCTCAGGTGGTCCAGCACCATCTGGCCACGGGTGTGTGTGCCGACCACCTCGACGGTGGCATAATAGTCGCGCTGATCCTCGATGAGGAGCGTGGGAAACAGGTAGGCGGCAGTCAGCAGGGCATCGCAAGTCAGCCACTTAACAAAGCCACGTGGCAATATAATGGCCCGCTCAGCACGATTCATCAAGTCCATGGATGCAGTGGGTACAGCGCCGAGCACATTGAACCGAAAGTCCTAACGGAAAACGACAATAATGAGTGGTCAGATTAATCAGTATGTTTGCTATACTTTCGAAAAGTAGCTCTCCACTGGACAGGTTAGTTTCTAAATAGCATAAAACGTTTGCTTTTTATAGGTTGCTTTTTATTTTTATACTATCTATTATAGTACCTATGTACATATATATTTGTGCTAAATCGCTTATAATTCATACAAATGTCAATTCATTTGGCATTTAAGCCCTGCAATACACCTTTTTTTCAACAAACTGAAATGATAAACAAATTTGAAAGAAAATTCTTTTACTTAATCGCTTATAATTCATACAAATGTCAATTCATTTGGCATTTAAGCCCTGCAATACACCTTTTTTTAAACAAACTGAAATGATAAACAAATTTAGAAACAAATTCGTTTTAAAAATGTCTTTGTCTATCTTTCGAACTTAAACATACAAATACGAAAAACCTACAAACAAAATGGAAAGTTTTTTAATTGAATTCAGTTATGCCAATTAAAGGTTAAAAAAGTGTTTTAAACCACGATTTCCCAATTGCTATACATCGAAAATTTGTACGATTTTGTCACTCACCACATCCAGTCCGTAGTCGCCATCTATGCAGGTCTCCCAGGGCAGCACCCATGCTGGTTTCTTGATCCGCTCGAGCACAATGTGCGCCGCTTCGGGATCCAACATGAAATTAAATTCGGCACTCTTCGTAATGTTGCCCTTCCCCACAATATTGCCGCCCATAATGTAGACGTCACGCACCTTATCTAGGAAATCATCACCATAGATGTTGATGCAGAGCGCAAAATTGGTGAGTGGGCCCACCAATAGGAAGTCTATGCGATGTGCGTGTTCGCAGGCCAAACGATACATCGCATTCACGGCACGCTCCTCGCTCACGAGCGCCTTCTCATTCACCGCTGGATAATTATCCAAGTCCCCTAGGCCATCGCGACCATGAAAGTACCCGCGTCGCTCCCAAGTGCGTGGCATTATCGACTCGGCACAGCCCTTGAAAACGGGCACCTACACATATTTCGATTTATGTAGAACATTATCTAAACCTTATAGCTTCAGTCGGTCAATTATAACTCACATCGAGACGTCCAGCGGTGCTCAGCACGCGTAGAGCATTTAAGGTGCCATTGTCAACATCGGTGTTGCCGTGGACGCAAGTTACGGCGGCCAGTTTGAAGCGTCCCGGCGCCAGCTGAGCGGGTAATGGGACCTCCCTACTCTGTGAGTAGTGCTCGGCCCGCAGGAGCATCAGTAGACCCCAGGCATCGTCCGTTCCAATGTCGCAATCGTACACCACATAGCTATCGTATTCAGCCGTTCCCTCTGCACCCATGTTTCCGCCTCTCCGTTCTATGATCTGAACTCTTCCGGCTCTATTTCTGTGTATCTTATCGGTTGCTCACACAAACACAAACACAGACACACTTCTAAATACAATATGTTGGAGGCTGCTACTGTCGCTGTGGTTGAGCGATTCGTATCTTTAAATACCCTATACTGTGGCCAATATCTTTTTTATTTTTATAGACTCCATAAAGTGAGCTTATCTACAGATAACATAATCATTTTTCATGTTGCGTATACCTCCGTAATTCCGAGGCTTGTTCAACTGGTCGCCGATTATGAAATTTACAAAATTATTTGTGTTGAATATATTTACATAGATTTACTAAAACTAAGTTCGACAATTATTTCGCAGTTTTAGCAATGAAGTGGCTTGGAATTACCAAAACTTTTATTAATGTAAAATTATTTTTTAGAATTATCCTTCACAAGATGTATGTTTTGATTGGAAGGTTGGGATATTATTTATAAAAATTACATAACAGCGAAACTTTTTATTTTTTGACTGAGGTTGCTTAAATATAACTGGATTTATGTTGAGCCTCACATATTATTGGATAAAAACTATCCACTCCATTTTGAAAGTATATAATCATGATCCGTAAAGCGCTAATCCAGCTTATAATACACTTTATCGAGGCTTTTCTTTTACATCTACTTGTTACATCTTCTAACATATTGAGATTATATAATTTTTGAAAATAAATAAAGAGTAATCAAGAAAGATTTATAAGATCATGTGGCGAGACTTCCTGGAATGACATCTAGAGCTCCTCAAAATGCTTAAACAGTTTTTATTACACTTTATAGAGGCTCTTCTTTTACATCTGTTTGCACTTACTACTTGTAAGATACCTTTGAACAGAGTAGAGAGAGAGTATTAAAAGTTGCGCGTTTCTTCGGCTCGCTGCTCGATTATGCGCACTTGCAAATGACGTAGATATAGAAATACATACATACATACATATGTATAAGTAGTATACTTAATAGTATGTGTGGACAAGTTTAACATTTGCAAACACATTTATCGGAACCAACGAAATCGAATGGGCCTGGGGTGTTGCTTCAGATGGTGGAACCTGAACAGCAGAATGAACGGCTATTTGTTAATTTACACAAATGTGGCGATTTCTTTACGCCAGCCCTTGAGGCTGGAAATCCTTAAAGAGTGTTCTGAGCAATCGAACCCCTCGATCCCCCGCTTTTATTTGTAATCGTGAAAACTAATGCGTGAATGCGATGCTCCAAATTATTCAGTGCTTAAATTTTAGTTTTTGTGCATTTATCATTCATTTCGAAAGAAGCTGAAGAGTGGATGCTGTGGAATTTCGTAATACTGATAATATAATGATAATGTCGGATGTGTGTGATATTAAATTGACCTTCGTCCAAGCAGAACAACAAATTGTGACTGTCTCGGCGGAACTCAAAAACCGTGCCGGCAAATACTATACATAATTCTATGATGAAAAAGCGGTTAATTAATGCATAGCTTTATTTACACTAAACACTATCGAATTTATTGCGATTCAGAAATAACAATTGTCGTGCTTTGTTTGGGGACACTCCTAATATTATCATCAATCCACTGGTGTTGTTAGTTTTTTACGTTCAATGGTCATTATCAGCGGCCTGCGTTACATGAGAACAACAATAACAAACATTTTGTAAATCTTTTGTTTATTGTTGTTGCTGTCTCGTCTTAACTAATATTTTGTGCATACTTGTAGTTTGGAATCGCACGCGTACGCACACAATCAGAACATTTTCATTCTACTTGTATGCCTGAGGCCCGGTTCCATAGAAACCCGCTCTCTCAGTCTCTTGACGACGCGTCGTAAGTTCCCGCCATATGTTTATTGTTTATTGTGCATCTGTATATGTGTGTGGGTGTGTGTGTATGTGTTTAGGTAGGTCTATGTGTGTGTGCAGTAAAACGTTTGATTGTTATGAGCTCATATCAAGATAGTTTTGCAATGCCGATTACCTATAACAACAATGCGAGAGATAAGAACGCCGGCAATGGGATAACAAGCAGACATTGAGGAAAGCGAAAACGAAGACCGAGACCGAGACTGAGACCCAGACCCAGACGGACCAGACAAGCTAAGGAACTGTAAGTAATTGGAAGGTACTGTGCAGTCGTCCAACTTACGGCTACACGACTACAACTTACCCGGAAGAGTCGCAAGACTAGGACGAAGAGAAGGAGTATAAAATAGAAAATGTGTGCCAAATACGTAATCCTAGACTGTGATGGCGGCAGTGACGATGCTTGGGCACTGTTGTTGCTGCTGCATGCCGAGAGGAACGGCATGGTGAAGCTACTGGCTGTGACCACCACTGGAGGTGGCAATACAACGCGAGAACATTGCGCCCGCAACATGCGACGCATCCTCAAGGCCTACGCCAGGGAAGATGTGAGTGCAACAGCAATTTAAATGCATCATAAATCATCCCCATCTATCTCTGATTGCTCTCTCTGATACGATCTTATACAGATTCTAGATGCAACAACGTTTTGTACATACAAGTATGTACGCTGTATCAGATAGATTATTTAAATCTGATCTAAGTCCCCTTTTTCGCACATACGGCAGGGAATACAAATACTTATGAAAATATCGGTAATTGCAGTAATTACTTACTATCCTGAACGCCCCGACATCTATTTTATACCTTAAAATCCTAGAACGCCCTAGTATGCGGATTCATTTAATATGTGTTTTTTAGGAAGTGTATTTCCAATCTTCAACCTAACCTATCTTTTACATGACATCTTGTCAAATGTCATTTGTTTCCTGAGCCCCTCAAAATTTTAATCCTATAAGTTGGATTAAGTCTGAGTATGTCTTCAAAATATAATCTATATGCCAAATAAAACAAGTAGAGAAGCTAAAGGCGGCTGTCCCGACTTTGAAATACTCTGTACATATGTTTAGAATAATTATGCGTGTCTATTCGTGTTTGTGTGTGTCTGTGTATGTTGGGCAAGATGTTATTATTTTCTTATGTGAATAATAAGGCCTCTAGGACTAGATCGACTCGCCTTGTCATGCTGATTAAGAATATATATACTTTATGGGGTCTGCCACGCCTTCGTCTGCCTGTTACAGTTTTTAACTCCCGCAAACCTTATCTACTCTTGTACATTTCATGTATAGAAAATAAATAGTTATAGATTTATAATTTTTAAATTTTTTTTAAACAAAATTTATAAAATCTTGGTCTTTTTCACCTCAATCAAATCTAGAATCTAGATATACATATAACCTAAATTTTTAATAATCTACTAATCATACGAATAATCTGACAGGTACCCATTTATCTTGGAGCTGTAGAGCCACTGCTGGGTTCCAACGACGATGAGAAAAAGTATTTCCATGGCCAAGATGGCTTTGGAGACTGCCTAGATGCCAGCGATTGTGAAAAGGTTGAGGATTTTGTGCAACCTCTACACGCAGTCTCAGCTATCTATGAGCTGTGTCGGAAGCGCCCAAAACAGATCACCTTATTTGCCATTGGACCACTTACAAATCTTGCGGTCGGTTTTACTATGTATGGGGAGGAATTCGGAGCCCACATCAAGGAGCTCTGCATTATGGGTGGCAATTATCAGGGCGTTGGTAATTCATCGCGTGCGGCGGAATTTAATTTTCACTCAGATCCCGAGGCGGCGCATGCTGTGCTCGCGAAAGCGAAACGATGTCCCATTACCATATTGCCATGGGAGCCATGCACAGATAAACACTTTAATGTACCAATTGTAAGTCCCATTACATGGATATCTAAATTGATCGCCTACTTATAAAATGGTTGTTGTAGAGCTGGCGTTTGGAGGATTTCGGGGCACGTGCTGCAGCGGCAGGACATGCGGCTATCACCATGCTTAATAAAGTGGAAAGTGTCCAATGGCTGCCCATGCGCTTTCCCAATTGGAACCCCTGCGATGCTATACTAGTGGCTGCCTGGCTCTTCGAACCACAAATGGTAAAGAAGCACAGCACCTGGAACGCAACCGTGGACTTGAGAGGCACCCACACGCGCGGACAAATGGTTTTGGACCATTTACGTGAGATTGAGAAGTACCCCGAAAATGTGCGCATTTTGGAGGAGATCGATAACGAATGCTTTAAGCGTGTTGTGGAGTGGATAGCTGGCCTAAGGAAGGAGGTGTAAATAGTAATGCCCGTTCCATTAATTGTTGCCCTAAATTGGTTCCTCCTAAATTAAGTACAATTTTTTCAACCCATTAATTTTTGGACTATTTTAACTTATTTTTTAAATTTTTTACAAGCTATATTTTTGAAATTTCATAAGTTCCCAAGGACCTCCTCCGTTAATTCAGGGTTATATTAAAAAAATCGTACTTGTGAAAGTATGATTTCAAATCAGTTGGATTGTTTTCTTGGACTTTCTTGGAAAATGTATATATTCTAACATAAATTTTCATGTATGTAACTATACAGTTTTCAGACACATTAGTTTTACAGTCATTTGCTATAAATCTAAATTTCTAATAACCAGGGCTTATATTTTCTTAATGTAATATATTAACGATTATTGAGCATTTAACATATATTTGTTTTACTCTGAATTTATTTTGGTATTCATTTTAATGTAAATGATTTTATTAGGAGCAAAGCGTCAAGCATTCTGGTATGAAACGTGAATGCTCATTTGAAATTGCGCGCTCTTTGTCGCACCCCAATTGCCTTATTGAAATAATTGTTTGCTTGTGCACACACTGATGCCTGCAATCGATAGGAGTCAAAGAGCCCGTTGTGTCGTTATATGCATATCGGTAGGAATCGATACTCCAATTGGACTCTTAAACACATCACTAAGCCGTGTTATATTGAAATTTAGTGGTCCGTCGGTCGCATGCAATTTGTTTTGTTGCTCATTTTCCAACTTATTTCGGGCTTTGCGCTGCTTCTGATCGTGATTCACTATATATATTATATAACTAAAGCGATTGCCGGTGATTTGCGTCAACAACAACAGCAACGACAACAAGAACGGGAGAGGCGCGCACTGATAGACCAAGACCCGCTCAGAACAACAGTTGAAAATTATTCAGATTTGCCCACAAACAATTATAAAACTTCTTCAGCAGCAGTAACAATAGCAACAAGAAGAGCAACAACAACAACAATGCAAACAAACGATGATGCAAAATTTATTAAAAAGTGAGTGCTGCTGACGTCTGTGCCTGTTTGTATTGTATGTGTGTGTGTGTGGGTGTTAGGCAGAACATTAGCGCATAACAATAACGACGACGGCAAAAAACAATAACAACAACCATAACAGTCGTGGTAGCAGCAGCAACAACAAAGACATGTTTCGGTCGTCAGAGCAAAGTGGCAAAAGAAACTCAAACCCACTCACCTTGCAGCGGTCTACTTGATTTTTATTGATTTTCCACTTGCCGCAAGCTTTTGTTTCTATGCGTGTGTATCGCAAACCGTCAACAACACCAACAACAACAACAAGAACAGCTAGCAAAATAAATTGGCATTTAAAGTGTGTTCGCCCTCTTAGTCATGTTGCGCGCGTGGTGGGCGGCAAAGGCGTGGCATCATGGTCATATATGGCAACATAAGCACATAACCAGAGGCACTTATTTATTATGTCCATATAAATACATACATTTATGTGCATGTGTATAAATGTTTTAAGTAATGTATGTGAAGCGCATTGACCCGGTCCGGTTGTCTCTTTGTATGGAAAACAATCAATCACACAAACTCGTACATATACATACATACATACATATGTATGAACATAAATACCCTCCAGATCGCCGGACTTGCGAATTCGTTGGTTACCGATCGACACCACATTTTGCGCTTTGTACGAACGAAATTATGTTTCAGTCATGAGTTTAAGGACTTCCGTAGAGAAAATACCGCTACATTTATAGAATTAAAACTATGAACTGATTTTATTTAGTAAATTACTACTGCTCTTAAGTACATTTGCATCTTATTCCCAGCTACATAGGCTGTATAAACAATACCATCTGTGTTTTCTATTACCCATGAAGAGATTTCTTTTTATCTATGGTAGTGTAAGCGTAGCATGCAAGCTACTCAAATTATCGCCTAGTGATTGAATACTGGTTTTTATCAGCGATTTTTTTTTTTGTAAATTTAGTTTTCAACGTGTGTCAGTTTGGTGTTAAATACATATGTTTAAGCACGCGTGAAGACCAATCAACTAAAACCTTCGGTCCACTATCACTTGAAAGCTCCTTAAATGAATGGAAGTTATTAATTACTAAATAGCTTGACGATGAAAAGTGGGTTTTATATATTTCTGCTCTTTAATTTCATCTGCTTATGCTTTTTGTTATTATTATTAAGTTAAGTATCGTCATTAGTGTCATTAAAAATGATGTCAGCAACTCATTTTTGCATCGATTTCATTTTACTTTTGTCATTTTTGAAGCAGTTTTGCACCAAGTCCTACAAAATAATAGAAATGATATGTATATGATTTTCAAACAATTAATAATGGGAGACTCCTAACATGAAATCGGTTTCAAAATAAGTTTTCAATAGAACAATACTCTACCAAATTACTAATAAACAGATTTTCTTGTTTCTTGGATAACTTAATTTCAAGCTAAACGTTTAGTTTTAGTACTTGTATAATTATGTTTTAATAATACAGAAAGTCTGTTTAAATTACTCATATACTTTGTTATACACATTCGAAAATAAAGCTCTACACCAAGCCAACTGACTCATATACATATATATGTATCTGAATCAGCTTTTCCTTCTGATAACAATTCATCATTGCCCGAAATTCTGTTAATACTAATATCCCTAATTGATCCCTATTTTTCCTCAAATAACTTTGAAAAGTTAACTGTATTTTTAGCCATTAGAACATTTCTTATATTTTTTGCTACGAAAGGCATTTTGAAATACAAAAATGAAACAATTTGCAAATATGAAGCTCTTTAAATAGGGCTCAAAAAATTACTACTTAATGAATATTAGTAGAGTTGACTGTCGATTTAAATTAAATTATTGGGAGAATACTGTCGATTTGTTATGCGCCTCATTATTTATTTACTATACTAGTGAGTGTCTTGATTGATTATTGAACTAAAATGCTAATTCTTTCAATTTTTGTTTGCTTCGCTACAACAACAACAATTTGTAATAATATTGACAACTATAACAACAATTGATCGATTGAAACAGACGTTGGAAAGGCGGCTCCATCGAACCACATCCCACAGACAAGGCGCTAATTGTCAATTACCAGCTGGAGGCAACAGTTTTTGGCGAACCCAATAATCCCATGATTGAGGAAAAGAAGGTATGTCCAATTCCAACGACCCTACACAATACTACCTGTGCATACATACATACATATATATTTGCAACTTCTCAGCTCAGGTGGCGTGTGCTAATGTGGCAGTATTGGCTAATTCAGGGCAGCCAATAAAAATAATATAAAACGAGCCATTTCAGACAGCGGTCGGCGAAGCAGAGAGCTGCTTTCAAAGAAGGGTCAGGGCAGGCCTCATAAAGTTTTGCGAAAAATGTATTTCGTAGTAGCCTCTGCTTGAGCGCACACCTTAGTTTTTGTGTTTTGTATGTGTGTGCGTGTGTGTAACTGTGTGGTACATTATGTAGGCGTTGGCATTGAATTTAACCCTAAAACATGACCACACAGTCGATATGGGACATACAAACATGACCCAAATCCAAAACCTCCACCAATATAGCCATGAATGGGTGCCTATATAGACAGTATCCTTGAGTTGGTCAGAGATAGGTCGAGTTTTCAGAAAATCTTACTTACAGGCGTTCTAGTGTATAAAGAAATTATTATTATTTACGTTCTTAATATTTAGAAAAATATAGATAGAATTTTAGTTTTGCAGTTAATTTCCCTTGAAATTCAGGGACATCTCTCTTGTAAGAATCGATTTGTAGCCGTTTCAAAAAATAGTTCTTCAAATATTTCAGATCTTAAGTCTACCTAAGCCAAAAACTAAAAACAATATTCAAGATTTTATAGCGCCATAAACTATTCATAGGAAACTATTCATTTTCAGAACTTAGATGAACAAACAAATTTCTTCTTATTATTGAGCGTCCGCTCCATTATAAGTATACCTTATTTAGTATAATGTAGCTAATGAATTATTGCTAATAGTTTAAGTATCATAAGGTAAGATATTTAAAGAATGGATATCGTAAATTCTGTGGATAAAGGAAAGCTTTGTTATATTCTGTGGAAACTGCTTACACTTTGATGTTTACCAATAACTTCTTTCTGGTTAGTATTTAGAGAATAGCAGACCCAGTTGTGTCTTTAAGAACTCACACAATGATGTTTAGTATTATCAATTAAATATTGTCGAATATTGAAAGCAGCACTCCTGGCCCCATTTAGGTGAAGAGCATTATTATGCCTTTAAAGAGAAATGTTTGGTTTATGGCATTTAAATGCAAATGGTAACCAATGCAGTTGGTGGTCCTGTGATGGCACCTGTTATGTTTCCACTGACGACCACAACGACTCAAACGCTTGTGGGGTGAAACCCCCTTATTTTTTCGATTGCTGCAGATCATTGGAACATTCTGTGACTAATTCCGCTATATGCCTTTCTTTATAGAATTGTCAGAAAATAATACGACTGCGTTCGCTTAACGCCAAAACAGACCCTGCTGCCTTGGCACGTGAAGTTGTGGATAAATGCGATCTCATACACAAGTCTCAATTGAACGATGTGGAACAGATTATATTCTATTTGAAGAATCGCAAGGATAATGCCAGCAATGGTGAGCACTCGTATATGCTTCAAGGCTTCCAATATCCGCAAACACATTCCTCCTCTTCCAGACATTACCGAGAACAACACAAACACGAGACGTTCAGCGGCCGTTCACACGCGTTCCTCAGCCCGTTCCCATAGCAGTGTGGCCGCCATGTCGAGCAGTACTAGCAGCAATGCGGGCTCCAGTGCCTCAACGCCGCTGCAGCCTTCTGATGTGTCAATCAACAACATTGACGAGTACGTGGAGCTGCTGTACGAGGAGCTGGGCGAACGCATACGCGGCTCGGCGATGATTCTACAAATGGCACGCAATCCCGACAATTTAGAGGAGTTGGAAAAGAACGGTCTATCATCTTACCCTACCCTTTCTAACCTTTCCATTTTGCTAAACGGCTTTATTTTTAATTGCAGAAGCCTGCCTCAGCGCCTTGTCGCGCGTTTTGCGCGAAGATTGGCGCAAAAGTCTCGATCTCTCGACAAACATTATTTATATATTCTTCTGTTTCTCCACCTATACAAAATTTCATCCGCTTATTGTGCAGTACAAGGTGCGTATATCATCTGGTAATATAGTCAGATTAAAAGTTTCGCAGAACTGTGCGCTTGACAAAAAAGGACGTCACGTTAAACGCAAAAATTGTTTGTAACAGACAGCATGAACTGTTCGTTCGTCTGTTTGTCTTACTAATTGTAGATGTAAAAAGTGGATTATAATTTATAACGACCTTTTCTTTGACCTTTCACGACTCCGGTTAATTCATTTGTTCCCATTTACTCAATGATCCACAGATTGGTTCGCTTTGTATGGACGTCATTGATTATGAGTTGCGACGCTATGAGACGATGCGGAATGAGCTGGACGTACGTAAAAATCCCAACGGCTCGACGCCGCAATCGGCGAAGGCCAGCAAAGAGAAGCTTAACCGCAGCACCGACGACTTTCTGGACATTATGAACGAGGAGAAGCCAAAGGAGGTATGAGAAGGTGCTCTTAATATTATGGAATGGAGGAGTAATTTTTGTATTTCTGCAGATGGAACCACCGCGGCGGCGTATACCCGAGTTGAAGCAGCGCCCAAAATCGGGAAACTGGAGCAGCTTTCACGGCTCGATGTCCTCGTCGTTGATCAAGAGTCAAATATTGAATAGCAGCTATCATGAAGCGCTCTCTGCGGGCGCCAACGCCGAGCCGGTCTGCACAAACGTCTCTAATGGCGACTTTAAAGCGCAAAGCAACGAGTCTCTCGATCGGAACGATCCCAAGGTGAAGAAGGAGGAGATCGATCGTTTGAATAAGCAGCTAAAAATCTTTGCCAAGAAGCAGGAGCAACTTTTACGCGTCGCCTTCTACCTGCTGCTGAACATGGCCGAGAATGTAAAGCTGGAGGAGAAGATGCGACGCAAGCATATAGTGAAGATGTTGGTTAAGGCGCTGGATCGCCAGAACATTGATCTGTTAATGCTAGTCAGCACCTTTCTTAAGAAGCTCTCGATAGTGGGTGATAACAAGGATGAAATGTCTGCGCTGAACATTGTGGCCAAGTTGCCGCGTCTCTTCCAAAACGGCCACACCGATCTTGTGCAGGTTACACTCAAGCTGGTCTTTAATCTGTCCTTTGATGGCAACCTGCGTCGCAAGATGATTGGAGCCGGCTATTTGCCCATGCTCGTGATGTTCATCAATGATGAGAAGCACCATGGCATTGCCGTGAAAATCCTCTACCACATGAGTCTGGACGATAAGGTGAAAGCCATGTTTACGCACACAGAATGCGTCCAAATGGCCACAGACGCCATCATCCTCAATCTGAATGTGAAGGTCGATTTGGATTTAATTGCCTTGTGCATCAATCTGTCCCTCAATCGTCGCAATGCGCAAATTATGGTCGAGGGGCAGCGCCTGCACAGTCTAATGGATCGAGCGTTTAAGTACCAGGATGCATTACTCATGAAATTGCTGCGAAATCTCTCCCAGCACGAGTCGCTGCAAGTGCAGTTCATCGATTATGTCGGCGATCTCGCCCGCATTCTCACCATATGTGACGATGAGGCTTTTATTGTCGAATGTCTCGGCATTTTGGGGAATCTCGCGCTAACCGATCTCGACTATTCGCAGATATTGCAGAACTTCCAGCTTATACCCTGGATACGCCAACTGCTGGTGCCCTGCGCACGTCTAGACGATCTCGTGCTGGACACGATCGTCTATCTTGGCACCTGTGCCTACGATGAGCTCTGTGCGTTGCTCTTCTGCCGCGCCAAGGTCGTGCTCTCCCTCATCGAACTGCTGAAGGCCAAGCAGGAGGACGACGAGATCGTCTTGCAAATCATTTTCGTATTCCAGCAAATATTGCGACACGAAAGCACACGCGAATACATGATCAAGGAGACGGAGTCGCCGGCCTATTTGATTGATCTGATGCACGACAAGAACGAGGAGATACGCAAGGTGTGCGACTATTGTCTGGACATTATTGCGATCAGCGACAGCGAGTGGGCCAAGCGCATTAAGGTGAGTGTTCTTATCTCATTCAAAATTAAGACTTCTAAAGATAAGTTCCTTATTTGATTGAAAGCCCGGTTCGATTTATCAAAACGCCAACGTAATTCAAATTCAAAATATATATGTATATGTACATATATGCAAGAATCGCACGACTGTATAGCATAGTTGTTATAGAGCGTGAGTGTTGCATCTTTTATCGCCGTCGCACTTTTTGTGCCAATTATAGTCGATAGCTATGCAAATAGTTGGATATAATGGCATTATTCTTCTTGTATCATCTTTTTGGACAAAAAAGAACTATATTAGTTGCATTTTAAAGCTTTCATATAAATGTATGTGTATATTTTTGTAGCTGGAAAAGTTTCGCAATCACAACTCCCAGTGGCTGTGCATGGTGGAATCACAGCAGGATCATGACAACGAGCAGGACTATGTGGACAATGAGGAGGACGATAATGATTTGGACACATACTTGCGATCCGAGTATTTGGACAATTGCGATTTGTATAATAGCGCGCATGCCAATGATGGGGGCGGCAGCAGCGGCGGCGGCGATAATGACAGCAACAATAGCAACAATCCGGCCAGTCCGGCCATGTCCACCTACAGTCGGCCAGTTAGCACGTAAGTGAGCTGCAAATTTTAAATGCTAAATGCTAAGGCAACGGCTATTCAATACTCTTCCCCCACAGCTATCGGCGTAGTCAGGATCTTGATGATTTGTACAACATGACATCAAGTTCCAAGTCGCAGGCGTCCAGTCAGGGCGATAACAACTATATGTTCAAGTCCAACAAGTCTCTCGATGCGGAGGGTCTGCACGAGGAGCTGCTAATGGCATAGGCCTAGGAAAAACACAAACATAAAGACAAACCGACGCATACAAATCGAATCCAAGTCCAAGCCACATGAACACGAACAAATTTCAATTAATGCTTTTAAGAGATTTGCAATCACAACGCCACGCTTTCGGAGCAGCTGCTCGCTGTACAATACATTTAAGTGTATATGAGATATATATATATTTAAACATATATTTATGCCATAGCTACTACCTGTTCACGTACACGTACACATACACACAAGTATATATACATATACATATGTATGTATGGGCATTGGTGTACGATATATTTTTTTGTCGCTTGTTACAACAAGAAAACAACAATTAGTCAAAAGTTATATACATATATTCTAATCAAATCTCGGCCAGCCAGCGGCAACTCGATGTTTACTCCACGACATTCTAAATACGATAAATGGCGCACATGTCTTTTTTTGTTAATTTATTTATTTACGTTACTATTATACATATATCGTTAATTATAATTCTTGTTTTTAATCCTTAAATTTAGTTTATTTAAGAGGTTCTGTGCAATAATCTCACTCAAAGTATTATGTGTTGTTATTTTTTTATTATTTTTGTTTCAATTAATTTATAAATAATATACAAATATGTACGTACAAGCCTATTTGTGTAACCCTAAGGAAACGAGTTCGAATATAAAGATGTATTTGTGCAATTAAAAAAAAAAAAGAGGCGTGTTTTTCTTTTATAAGATCGCTTAGATATAAGATCTATCTACTCGCATACCATGTACAATATTTAATTTCAATACATAATACTGTACATCAATGTATGGCCATAGAATGGAACTAAATGGAAACCAACTAAATAAAGATATACATATGTAGCTATTGCTGCCGAAAGGAGATATATTGAGTCACAATCTACGTCCAGACTTTTGCTTTTTACAAGCATGCTTGTTAATTTCAAACCAGCGCTAATCATTACTAAGCTCAGTAACAAACAAATGATTTGTTTATAAATCTGTGCTGCAGTTTGTTTTCAAAATGGTTACTTAGAGCTTTTGGAAAAGTTAAAAGTTACAGCAAAAGTTAAACTATTTCTTTTAGGTATCAACCAAAATTTAGGGCAACAAAATTCTTTTTATTGCTTCATTAATGCTTTTCTCTTTTAATAAACATTCATTAAAAACTTATTGCCATATGTGAACTATAACAGAAGTTAAGCCTAGATCATTGGTGCCATCTTTTTGAAAATAAATACTTTCAATACTGTAACCATAAACAATACCTGACTTAATAAAAAGGAATATAATTCGATTAGATAACGATCCTAAAATTGACAGACAACTTGTTTGTAACAACATAATGCTTAAAAGTTTTATTTAGTTTTGGCAATTTGTATTTGCTTATTGAAATATTTACAATCTTGTCTATAGTTTTTACAATTTTTTACACTTAATTAGCTTGTATCTTAATTTGAGGTAGTTCCTTTTTTGGGGTACGTATAATCGTTTGTACTGTTTACGATCTAATGCCTAACATGTTGAACAAATTTTGTCAATTGTTTTCTATAATCTAGATTCACAGAAATTGCGGCGTGAAAAAAAAAAATAAGACTGCGGTTGCTTTGTTGGTGAAAACACATTGTAGGACTTTGTGCGGATTAGGTGGCAGTTTCTTGTCAGGAAACATATTACCATACATATAGCTGTGACCGCACCTGAAGACGTCTCTCGGCTTAGAGCAGCGACGAAGTGAAAATCTGCTTGAGTATTTGGGGCAACTTGGTCAGATCCATGCAGACAAAGCTATGTCCGGCCGGCATTTGTGCGTTAATTCTGTAAACAAAGAATTAATTAGTTATACTAGATGATATACGAGTATATGTGTGAGCTACTTACTCGTCTGCCTCCTCGGCGAGACTGCCAATGAAGATGACATAACCCTTGACTTTGGGTTCGCCACGCTTGAGGGCGAGTGCCAGATCTTTGGGCGCAATGCCATAACGCGACAAATTGGCGTCGCTGAGCACAACAACTATAGAATTATCGTATTCGTCTTCGGCGCCTAGAGTATTGACGGCTTCGCGTGTGGCTTTGACGGTGCTATCGCCAGACCAACAGAATTGCGAATGGGCGTGCATCAAGCGTATAGCTTCGAAGCGTTCTTTGTCGTTCTTGGGGGCGCTGCCCACATTTACGAAGGGAATTTCCCAGCCCTCGCCACTGTGGCCAACCACATCGTAAACAATTTTCTTTTCATAACTCTCGAAGGCCTCCATCACCATGACGACGGCCTCCAGTTCACGGTCCAGTCGTCCATCGTAGCCATTAAATCTAGCGGGGGGAAGGAGGATTTAGAAACGTTGCTGTTTTTTATATTTTTACAATTTATAGCTCTTTTATTTTACCTGTACATGGAGCCGGAGACATCCACCACCAGTTTTAAGCGATTGGGCTTCTCCTGTACGTGATCTGCCCAGGGATTGGCTTCGGCACGTCGCCTATAGATGTTCTTCTCGCCCGTAATGCCCTCGATGAGTCTGGTATCGTCAAGTTCTCCGTGCGTCTGATACTTCTGCCACTGTCGCTCCTTGCTCTTCGTCTGCATGGCATCCAGGACAGCCTTGAGTTGCTGCACCTGCTTGCGATTGGGCTCACTGAACTGGGCATAGAGCCGGTGGTCGTGCGCGGACATTTTGATTTCCTTGAGCTTCTCCTCGAACGCCTTGCGATTCATTTCGCGTGCTGCCTTCTTAATCTCCTCGGGTATATCGTTCTTCTCCTCATCACTCAACTGGTGCACCTTGTGACCTTTGTCGAGCCGAAAGGGACCACCCTTGCCGCCCAGACCAGCAGTGTCGCGTCCGCCACTTCCACCGGCCCACGTATTTCCTCCCACATGGGGGTCATTCTTGGGATCTGTCTTACCGTACTTGGGACCCGAAACGCCCAACCCACTATGGCGTTGCACAGTCAATTGGAGCTCCTTCTTTTTGCGCAGAGCGTAGAGTTCGTTCTTGGCATAGGCCTCAATGGGCAGACCATGCTTGGCCAGGACTTGGGTGACCTGTTCGAGTGCCTCCGGCTGATATTTATCAAAGTCCAGCACGTTGCCAACCAGCTCAGACATGGACTCATCGGGATAGCGTTCCAAATGCTTTACTATGCTGACCACCTCCCGCGTAGAGTAGGGATAGTTGAGCAAACCCTCGTCGGCGAGGCTGCGCAGCTCCCCGAAGGCATTCACCAGCGTTCGTAGCGTCTGTGTCGGTACCGAAGGACCATATTGTTGCAGCAAATAGATCTCCGAGTCGGGTGTGGGATTGTCAATGGCATGGCAGCTGAAAACATCGCCCAGCGAGGCGAAGAAATCGTTACCCAGGAAAGGAAAGCCCGGTCGATTGGCCAGCACAATTATCCTGAAGTTGGGATGCGTCTCAATGAGTTGTCCTGCATCCAAATGAGTGTCGCTACCTGCTGGCACAATTTTGCGTCCATCAGATAGCACCATTTCGCCACTCTCGACCAGCGTCCTCAGTATGCAGGTGACATTCACCGGCGCCTTGTCCGCCTCATCAATGACCAGCACATGGCCTGCCTTCACGGCCTTCACCAGCGCACTGTCCTCGTAAATGACTTGACCATCACGCAGCGTAGATTGTACTGTCAGGCTGTGGACGGTCGTGTCCCGATGCAGTTGCAGGTACTCGCGTGGCTTTCGCATCAGCTCCAGTAGCTTGTCGATGAGCTTGTTCTTGCCCACGCCTTGGTTGCCCACAAGCAGCAGGTGATCGCCGATGATGAAGTCCTGCAGCAGACGCTCCAGCAGCTCCACATGCTGTGGCATTTCGTAGAACAGCGTACTGGGCACCTTCGACTGCTGCGCCTCTGTGGTGGCCTCCAGTTTCAGTTCCGTGTTGCCAATCCTAAGCGTATCGCTCTCCACCGAGATTTGCTTTCTTACCTTCTGATTGGCGGGGGGCTGTCTTATGCCTGCGTCCTTAATGGCCTGCTCCAAGGCAGCACGTGAGAGTGCCGGCATGAATTTGGCCAGAAACGTGTTTTGCACAATGTCGTGGACAGATCCATAGTTGCTGCTGTTCTCGTTGGGCGGATAGGCTGCCATGCGGCGGGCAATTTTAAGCAGCTGGCGGGTGGACAGTGTGCCGGCCATGCTCTCCAGCAGCGGGTCCTTCGAGGCGCGCAAAATGTGCGCTAACTCGATGACCTTGTGCATATCCTCATGCATCTTACCGCCGCCATGAAGTTGCTGTATGATCTCATATTCCTCGGATTGCTGTAGCGGACGCACCTCTTGGTACAAGAACAGACTTAGCAGCTCCGGCGTCAACCAATTCTGTTGCGGCACATTCGGCTTTGGCGGCTCCGCAAGTGCCACAATCCGAAAGCTTTCGCTGATGGGCAGAATACCACGCTCCGCCAGCTCCAGCTTTGTCAGGCCCTGCTTTAAAAGCGCTTGATAGCGATCTTCCCGCAGCAGAGTAGTGCCGTCACACAACTGCAGTTCGCGGTCATGCACGAGTCTAGGTGGGAAGGAAGGAGGTGAATAAAGGAGGAGAATACCGAACGAGAAGCGCACACTTACCGCTGCAGCACGCTGGCCGTGCTCTTGTGCAGGCGATGGATGCCATTGAGTATTGCCACGGAGCCCGTCTTGGCGGCACGGACGAGCGGTGAGTCCCGCCATACAGTATCGCCCTCTACGCTGGTGATGCGTTGCTGCACCAAATCCCGCGACGTCATGTCCTCGTATAGCATCATGGGCTCAGCAGATTGTTGGAGCAGGCGCAGCAATTGCTTAGTTAACGTCAACTTGCCCACACCCCGCTCCCCGATGAGACAAACATCGCCCACGGCATAGGATTGAATGAGACTTGCCAGCACATTGCGCTGATGTGTCAGATCTATGAAATCGTTGGGCGCGTTCGCTGCACTCTTTGCCGAGCCGGCTGGAAGCGTCAGCTTCACATCATCCAGCTGGAAATCAACTTTCTCGCCAGCAGTTGCTAGCTGGCTATCGATGCGCTGCACCGATTTACTGGCCACTGTGTCCACTTTCAGACTCTTGAACAGCTCCTTGATGCGTTGCTTCTGCTCGTGCTTCAGCATAGACTCGTACGGATACAGACGTGAGATGACATCGTGCACACTCAGCGAGGGATTGTTTTGCTGGGTGACAAAAAAACAACGATCTTAATTGGCATGGGATGGATTTTTTGTGATTTGCTGCAGCTTACAAGCATTTGTGCGCCCAGGCGCAGACTGTCGAGCGGAAAGTCGGGCAGATTGAGGGTCGCATCGGTTGTCTGCACAGTAAGGGCAAAGGAGAGCAGTCCTTTGAGGGCCTCGAGCGGGGCTTGTGGCGCCTGGCGCTGCAGTTGCAGCAGCAACTCGTCGTAGGAATAGTGGGCTATGTTACGAGACTGAAATCGGGAGCGCAGCGGCGGATCTAGTGGAGTGCCTTTGTATTTCTGTGTCGGCAGTCCGAGAGCGACCACGCGAAAGTTCTCAGACACGCGCAGCAGTCCCCATTCGTCCAGCTGCGCCTTGCTGTGCGTCTGCAATCAAAGTATATACAAATAGCAGTAATATTTGGGCTACTAAGTCTGCAAAAACACACCTCCAAGAGCTTGTCGTAACGTTCGGGTGCCATTAGAAATTTGCCATTTTCCAAATGCATCTCGCGATTCTCCAGCAGATTGTTGAGTATGGGCAGCACATTGCGCTCGGCATGCTCCACACCATCGAGCACAAGGACACGACCATGCAACGCCGCACGTACCGCACACTGATCATGATATATGGCTGCCCGATCCTTGATCTCACGTCGCTGCTTCAAGTCGCTCTCCGTGGTGTCCCGACTAAGGGCTATGTACTCGAGTTCGCGTTGCGTAAGCTCCAGAAATTGCAGCGCCAGCTGGCGTCGCAAAGGACCCGGCTGCCCTAACAGGAACATGTCCTGCTTCAGTGCATCCTTCTGCAGCATCCAGCGCAGATGGTGCAGCGCCGATTGTGTGAACTGCAGCGTTCCATCGGCTGCATAGTGCACTGTGCAAGATAAATTGAACTTTGTACTCAAACACGGTGGAGCGGTGGATTTGGTACTCACCATATTGTTGCGGCACCAGCTCCGGTTGCCTGGGTTTTGTCAGCCTTACGGTTACATCACCAATCGTTAGCTGCTCGTCAGCTGCCGCTGCGGCTACGGCCGGTTCAGCTTTATCTTTTGCTGCTGTGGCGTAACTTCTCCTCCAGGAGGTGGTGGAAGTGGAAGCGGAAGATGTTGCTGCTGCGGCTGCTGCCCTCACATTATGTTGTAGTTGTCCGTATTTGTGGTGGTGACGCAATAAATAGCCAGCGCGACTTTGCAAATTTGCCAGCATCTTGCAATGTGGGAGGGGGTGGCGAAACTAAAAGTGCGTTTTAATAATTTCCACTATTAATTAAACTAGAAACAAACAACAACAACAAATACAACCAAAACGGACCAACAACAACAAGTTCGAGCAACATGCGCGCTATTAACAGCTGTTCAAAAGTGCTGCCAAGCGGGCACATACAGCTGTTTTGCTAAGTGGCTGTTGGCTGCTTGCTGCTGGTTTGTGTATGTGCTAAATGCAAGACTTGTGGTGATGCATTTTTGGTCAAGGTTAGAAAGTAGGGAAACATAAATCAAATACCTTATAAGATACTGCATTTGTATTCATATTTAGTAGGGCATTCAACAACAGCTTTATTGTGAAGTGAATTTAATTTTACAATGGTCACTTGCATCAATATATTAAATTTTTGATTTCAGGAGAAGTGTTCTTCGAAACTATACAGACTTCAATTGTGTAGAGCTTCCAAAACCGAGTATTCAACTCAAATGAAAATTCACAATATTCTCCATTTTTAATGTCAATTGCGCAACCTTAACTTTCAAGTATTATACACATAAGTCAAAAAAATCGCAGCACTTGTGAAAAAAAGGAAATCTCTGTAAGCAGTTTGATATCACTAGAATGGCAAAAAAAAAAAAACCCTGAAACACCAATCTGATTTTACATCAATGTTTAATAAATGAAATTTATGAAGTTGAATTTATTTAAAAGGAGGGTCACTTGCGCAATTTAAAAGCGTTTTTCTTATGCTTTCGTGATGGCTTCAAAATTCATAGCACCTCACGGCTAAAAATTAGGGTAAACATATTTCTTTTGATAAGTAAGCATCGTATTTGTCAAACTGCGAAGGAGTGTTGTCTTACAATTTAGATGGCGCTGCCACAACCCTAGTAGGCTTTGAGTTCCAACGGAAGGTCCCCCAGCAGTTGTGGCACAATAATTTCAGTCTTGCTCGAAACTTTATAATGAACACTTCGTAGACTCGAATATTTGTTTTTATTTGATTTTTAATTTTTTGTTTTTATAGTATTTTATTAATAATATTTATTTTTGTTTTTTCAGTGATTCATTCTTTTTCTTTATGTCTTGCTAAAAAGTAGTATTCGTAAATGGGGCTATCCAAAACACGTCCACGTTCAGTCTACGGATAAGCGAATACTACGGTTTTTGTTTGTTTTTAAACATTTCTATTGAATTTTAGAATATTCTAAAACAGCTGGCGCTGCCACAGCCAGTTCAAACGGAAGGTCCCCAGATTTGAATCTTTGATTTTTAAGTTTTTGTTTTTATAGTATTTTATTAATAATATTTATTTTTGTTTTTTAAGTGATTTATTCTTTTTCTTTATGTCTTGCTAAAAAGTAGTATTCGTAAATGGGGCTATCAAAACACGTCCACGTTCAGTCTACGGATAAGCGAATACTACGGTTTTTGTTTGTTTTTAAACATTTCTATTGAATTTTAGAATATTCTAAAATAGCTGGCGCTACCACAGCCCTATTAGGCTTTGAGTTCAAACGGAAGGTCCCCAGATTTGAGTATTTGATTTTTAAGTTTTTGTTTTTAATAGTATTTTATTAATAATTTTCATTATTGTTTTTTAAGTGATTTATTCATTTTCTTTATGTCTTGCTAAAAAGTAGTATTCGTAAATGGGGCTATCCAACACACGTCCACGTTCAGTCTACGGATAAGCGAATACATCGGTTTTTGTTTGTTTTTAAACATTTCTATGGAATTTTAGAATATTCTTCGTTTTTTTTTCGTAAATTTCAATATAATTTAGCATTTAAAAGATGCAGTATTCGGAAATGGGGAGGGGCATTGGAAACAAGCAATAAATACGTAGCCGCTTTGATTGGAATAATTATTTTAATTTATTCATATTTTTAATACGTTCTTTTATTGATAGCTTTATTTTTCGAATAAATAATTAGCTTTTAACTTGTGCCCCACACAGAAGTATTTTTAATACGTTTTTATTTACCTATAATGTTGGTTTTTAGTTTTTTCGAATAAATAATTAACTTTAAACTTGTCTGGGAACTTAAAAAGTTGCTGAAATCGGAAAAATATTTTTCCCCAAATCGAACGCTAAACTGAGGACATATTCTCGAACATATGGAGTGAAGTAGCGAAATTTTGATAGAATCTGTTGAAAGACAAGCTTGATCCTAACTTCTTTCGCTCACCAATAGTCGAAAATTGTGGCCAAACATCGTCTCTCTGGATCTTTTTTTGTGTACTTAAGACAAAATCGATCAAGAAATTGTGCTTAATTGTGGAACAGGGAATGGGACAGTCCAGTTGAACTGTTACTTTCATTTTTAATTCATAACTGAATGAATTTCAAAATATCGGCAGGGATTTTTCGTATTTCAGTCTACAATTTGAATAAGAATCCTACTATTCATTTGCCATCAATCGATTTGAATTTTTAACTTTGAAACTATCACGCTACCATTCTAAGATAACAACTATTCCCACACTCGTTTGGATTTCTGCTGAGTGTGGGAAAAATGGATAATGGATTGACCTTGAAACATTTAACTCGCACACACTTGACTGGGAATGTTTTTTCTTCAGTTTTGCAAAATATCACTGCCTTTGATAAGCTGCAAGTTTCCCACAGCCGCATGACTACATAAATGAATCAAACATACATACATACATATGTACATGTTTTTATATATGTACATACATACATATGTATGTGTAGACTACTGGGCGATAATCGCCTATAATATATAGTAAAAGAACTTTTTTAACTACAAATCGTACCTTTTCCGGCCGGGCACCCCATGATTTATGTTCTATAATTAAAATAATTATACGCGTAAATTCGAGTAAGTGCGGGTGGTTTAGTAATGCTTCAAAGTTCAACAGCGGGCACACCCTTGTATTATTCAATATTTGAACGATATTTCAGATTCCTGCCCAGAAAGTAATATAGTCTTTCTGCGGGTATTACAAATGGTGTATATACACATGTAGCTCGGGATGATCGGCTGGAGAGCTAAACTTCAACCAAACTGTTCCGAAACTACAGACCAAAATTTATAAAAAACTTCTTTTTCATTTTTGAACGCGTAAAGATCAGTTCTTCAGTACTTCTATTTAGAGGGTTTTCCTTTGTACAATTTTCATTTTATATGAATATGTATATGTACATTTTTTTTTTTTCCTAATGTGTTTCTTTAAGCGGAACCTATGAGCTAATACGAGCAATTCATTTCATCACATAATTATGATACTATTCAATTAAATATAATACTAATAATATATTTTTGCAAATTGAGAAAAAAGGTTTTAAGAAAACTCTAGTAATATTACAAATAAACTAAAATTTGTGTTGAAAGGAAAATTGTAGTCTTCTGCCTTGTTCTTTTATTTTTTACATTTATTCATTCAATTGTAATCTTTATCCTACATATAAGCTATTCATTAATTAAATATCTAGATGGGTTATAAAATTAGCCGAACCAGGCTAAGTAGCTAAGTTTGAGGGGCGGCACAGAAAAAGAGTTTTTCAGTTCCATATTCCTTTTGTGAAACAAATTCATAAAATAGTTACTCGCAATAGGAGAAGAAGAACGTGTTTATTTCTTCACAAATTATTGGGAATTATTTTCATTAGTCCATTATTGTGTTCGTACTTCTACGAACGCACGTCTCCAAATATTTCTAATAGCGCTTTCTGGATCGCTGTATTATCTGCCAAACACTTGCACACATCAATTTTAAAATAACTATAATTCGGGTTTGGCCAAAGTAACCGCAAATTTGGACTCAACCACAAGTGCTGGGCACGATGATAACTGCATATTTTATCACACCCTGAACCACATGGTTTGGGTACTTGGGCTCTTTATTTATTTATGTATACATATGTATGTATGCATATAGTAAACAAAACCTAATAACAAACCATTTAAATTGAACGTTTAAAGCGGCTACGAGTACGATGAAGAAAAATAGTAGATATGTCTAAGTCTGTAAATATGCTCAGACTTATCATTCATATTTAGATATCAGCTACTGCTTATCAGACTTGCAAAGTGTGCGATTTCATTTGGAAAAAGTGATCAAGCTATACTAGCTTCAGATATTGTATGTATGTACATAGATATCCATTATTATATATTTCGAATAACTTCACTTAATGGATAGCGGAAGAAATCAAAAAGCCCAAGATTATGGGTAATGCCTCGAAAGAGAATATATTATTTAAGAGACGCACCAAAAGAGACATTAAGCACGATAGAGACAATTGGAAAAGAGCAACGACTACACAGTATGCAGAAGCAGTTGGCAGCGTAGGCTCCACCCAATGGCTGGCAACGACTCCCCGACTTCATGCTTTAGTAGTATTGAGTCGAAAACAAAAACAACATGGCAAGCAAGTGGCAGCTGCACCACCATGACCTACAGACGCACACACACACACAACACATATAGGTATGCGAGCGAACGTTGGCCAATCAGCGCATCGCATGCACAATAACGGTAAGCGCACAATGCCAAAACAGCCGTTATCTCATTGGCTGGCACACTCAACGTGAAAATTGTGTTAAGAGAGTACAAAACAATGCAACGTTATTGCTGAATTCAGCGCTGAATTGAGCTGAGCGAGAGAGAAGGCCTGAGAGAGCATCAGTGGCGAGAGCAGTGCTTGTATTTGTTTCGCTGGCTTATCAGCAACCAAGCAGGTTGTTGTTATTGTTTTTTTGCTGAGCTGAGCTCGGCTCGGCTCGCAAACGATGCTGCCGCGACGAAGGCAGCGACTGTTGGTGTTGCTGCCGCTGTTGCTGTATTGTGTTCTATGGGTTAAGTCGCCGCTGGTGGCCACGTTAAGTGTCAGTAACGATTTAGTACGACACGCGAACGCACCTGTTTTTTTTTTTATTTTTTAAAACCAAATGCACCGCAAATTGTTGTTTGACGCTCAGATTTGTTGTGTGCTCCGATCTTTGTACGCTTTGTATGTGTGTCAGTGTGTGTGTGTGTGTGCGTGAGTGCGTGAGTGCAAAAAAAAACCCAAAATTATGGAATTAATTACAATGATTAAATGAAGCTCAGAAACAAAAATTATTTTGCACAAAGCTCAAAAGCGCGCCAAAATATCGAAAAGCAAGTGAAAGAATTTATAAACTAAAATGTTTGCAATGTAATGAAAGCAAGGAAAATATTTATTTAAACTTTTAACCGGTCGCTGTTATAGTTATCATTATTTTCGTTGTGGCTGTTGTTCTTGTTGTGCGTGTTCCTGCGACCAAAAAATTGCCAAAATTAAATTCAATAATAATAAAACGAAATACCAGGAAAAATGCCTTTCGAATGGATGTTGTTGTTGTTAGTGTTGTTGTTGTTGTTGTCGTTGTGATTCTGTGCATGAGCTTCTTGCAAATTTCCTGGGATAGCCAGCCAGCCAGCCAGCCAGCCAGCTTGACTTTATCAAGACAAAAGTATTTGCCCGCATCTTTGGGCGGACGCAACAGTTGTAATTTGCAATCGCAACAACAACAACACCAGCAATATCAGAAACTCTAACGCACAACAACAAAATCAGCAATAAATGTAAATAATAAAAAAATACACATATGCATGTATGTACATATGTATATCAAGAAAAATTAAGTCGAAAGTGTTAATTTGTGACTAATTTGCTTACGACTCTTCAGGCAACGTCAGCAGCAAAAAAGGCAACAACCTTGATTTAGCCTAGAAGTAGGCAACAGCAACAGCAACAACAACAGCATCCTGCCTCTGATTAATAAGTGTTTTCCATTCAACTTCTTTAGCAAATACATACATACATTGAACATAATATAAGACTGTGGCTTAAAGCAGCAGCAACAACGTTTTGGCGCCCTGTCGCTGTGTTATGAAAGAAATCAAACCAAAATCGTAGAAGTTAATAAAACAATAAAAAATAAAAACAACATTCGTCCACACATTTGCAGTTTAGTTTCAATTCAAGAATTACTGAATGCATTCGCCTGCAACAGCCAGATCGCGAACAGAAAAAGCAACAACAGCTCCAATCAATAGACTCGGTTGTATCAGCAACAACATCGATAACTTTAAGTGTAACAACAACAACAACAACAGCAACCAAATCAGCGGCGGCATTTTTTACAACCGCAGTGAAGCCGCCATCAGCAACACTTACAGCAGCAACAGCAGCGGCGCCAGCGGCAGCAGCAACAACAACAACAACAACGCCAACAGTAGCAACAGCCGCAGGAGCAGAGGAGCCGCCACGGCTGCCGCTTCAATTGTGGCGCCCGTCAGCTTCGCTGGACGCCTTGTGCGCAACAGCAGCCTCAGCCTCAGTCTCAGCCACAACCACAGCCATAGCCACAGCATAAGCAACAGCCTGGGCAGCAGCGGCAGCGGCAGCAGCAACGGCAACAGCCAACCCAGCATGGTCACATCCTCGGCATCGCCAACGGGTTGGACAACGCCGGCCGATTATAAGAGCGCCACTGCTGCGGTCATGTGCGAGGTCATACCCTCGAGTAGCGCCAGTGTGGGCAGCAACTCGCCAACAGGTGGTGCCAGCAACGGGACTGCGAACAGCGGCCACAGCAATCACGGTGGCAACCATAATGGCAGCAACAACAGCAGCACCAACGCCAATCACAACACCAGCAGCGGCAACACTAACAACAACAACAACAACGCCGTACATCAGGATCTGTTGTGGATGGAACGTTTCGTGCTGGAACGCCAACAAGAATATCCCGGAGAATTGGGTGAGTCGGACGGAGGATGTGAAGTGAAAAACAAATTGAAAATTGAAATTTCATCCATTGTGTAAATACAGTTTCGAAAATGAAAAATTTCCACGAAATTGTCCACTAAAATTCAGTTATTTAAAAAGCAATCAAAAATGTACCAGAAATTGCTTTAAAAATAGAGTGATCTAGTTATGGAATGGGAACTCGAAAACTCGAATTGCTTTTCTAAATTTCATCGAAAAAAAACATTTATATATTTGTATGCCTAGTTATGGAATGGGAACTCGAAAACTCGAGTTGCTTTTCTAAATTTCATCGAAAAAAAAAATTTATATATTTGTATGCCTAGTTATGGAATGGGAACTCGAAAACTCGAATTGCTTTTCTAAATTTCATCGAAAAAAAACATTTATATATTTGTATGCCTAGTTATGGAATGGGAACTCGAATTGCTTTTCTAAATTTCATCAAAAAAAGCAGTTATATATTTGGAAATCTATTCTATTCTATCTCTTCAACATTTAAATTCTTCAAAGGTATTCTTTTCATATGCTTTGCGCTTTGCCTCAAAAATGGCCAACAATTTTTCTCCAGAAGGTTTATTTGTGAAAACGCAGCTCTCCATTCCAGTTAAAACAATTTTAAGCTGAAATTTAAGAAATATTATAATGTGATGCCATCAGTGAGTGTATTTGGATTTTCCTCCACAACTTAAATTGTGAAATCTAGGGTACTGGTGTTACCAAAGATTGCTTGCATTTTTTTATGAAAAAAATTGTAATTTTGTATTAAATTGAGGAGAGAATTAAAGCCAGGAGAAGGAGTAGAAGGAGTAGAATTTGTGAGATTGCTTCCATTCCTCACTCCTAGAAACTCGATTCTCAACTGAAAAAATGCAGTCACAAGCCTGTAATTTTTGTTAGCCATTCTAATAACCAACAGAGAGCTTCAACTTGCAGAGTTTCTACTTGCAAGTCCATCTTTGTAGCAAAAAAGAGTTCTACAATAAGCTCTTCAATTGAAATCCAACGGTTAGCTAGCTTTCTAGTCGGCCAGGTTTCCTGTGATGTGATTTTTTGTAGCTCTGAATGCATTTCTGAATCCAAAATGCTCCCAAAAGCCATGCTTAAAGAAAAAACTCTACTGCTCGCCGAGTGAGCGTAAAGCGTGCCTTTGCATTTGCATTTTTTTTTTTAATTTCTTCTGCTTCTTTTTTTTTGGGCATACTCGCTTTTGTCCTGTACGCCTCATCCTTTCATCATCTTGCACTTCTGGGGCTTCGTTTGTCGCTTGCGTCAGTTCAGAAGCATCGCATCGGCTTGTCATCCGATGCTGGCAATATTGGTAAGTTGATATCAATAATTGTTATTGATATGAGCGGAGCGCACGAGTCTTGCCGCTTTCTATCAGAATGCCCGCCAGCGTATTCAATACTCGAAGCCTTAATCACAAACTACTACTTGTATATAGCAAGTATGTATACTCGTATAGCCTGTTAATAAAATCACGGCTCTGTTCACCCTTTAGCCTTGATGTGCTTTGAAGACGAAATTCAAAGGCCAGTTTCCGTTTTACGCGAAATTTTCTACAGTCTATCTCAGTTGTCTTGGAAGTTGATTTGGTTTCGATTAAGCAATATGTAGTTTAAAAATCGGCTCTATTTTGATCTGGAATAAGTTGCTCTACTTTTCTAAATACATATTTAGAATTTAGCTTAAAGCTGGAAATATATTGATATTCTATGGCTTACTAGAAATACAAGTATGTATATGGATTTGAAATATCTTAGAGGCAATTATTAGATTTCAATGTTTTTCTCCAAATGTGTCAAACGTTTTTTAAAATAGCACATCAAAACTATAATATGGTATGCATTTAAAATAAAATGCCAGTTTATGATTTTCTATATTGGTTCAATACAGTACCCATAATATGTAAAGGAGAATGAAATAGAGCGGAAACCTTAGCAAAAAGAATATTTTCTAATACATACTTGTAGGAAACCTTGCCGACTCACAATTCTCAAGCAGAGCAATTGAGCTTCAGTTTATAAACCAGAATCCAGAACTTCTAGTATAATATACGAGTACACCTAATTCTGTTTTTATAGGGTAGATTGGTTCCAGAAAAAGCCGTATACAACAAATTGATCATATGTTATTTTGAATCGTGCTAAATGGAATAAAGTCGTGCAACCATGTATACAATTTTTAATTTTCAACCCGTGTTATATCAAAACCGTGTAAAAACAGAATTTGGTTTACTATTAGAGCGAGAAGCAGCCCCTCTTGAGCGGAAGCTTTTGAGTGTGAGAAACCAGAAGGACCTCAGATGCAGTTGACAAGCGGTACCCAAAATTCCTTAGGCTTCCGTCTTTTGAGCACCTTTAGAACACTAGTGGTTCCACGGTTGAAAGAAAGCAATATTTCTAGGCATTCCAATTTTAAAACATTGGATAAATATTTAGAAAACTCCTAAATAATCGCATCGGCTTAGTATTCAATTCTGTGTGCTATTATTAAACTTCCTGTGTGCTTGGCTTTAATCTCAATTGGTTGTCCAACTACTACCCCGACTGGTGACCAACTGGCCTGCTTGTCAAGTGTATACCAACACCCCCTACCCCCCCTCCACCGACCAGCATTTAAATTTTTGAATCCTAGCACCTGGTCTATATTAATTGACAAGTGGGGGAATTTCTAGTGTTTTTCCACTCACCTCCAGACCTCCCGCTGGCGCCTCATTAATTATGCAGCGGAAAATTGAAAATTGCGTTGCTGTTGAAATTGATTGATTGATGGATAAATGGAGGAATACACGGATGAACGGATGGACGCTAACGCTGCTCCTTTCGCCAACTTCCTCTCGCTCCAGCCTCGGCGACAATTCCAGTCAAATAACTATCAATTATTTACAGTTTTGCACACAATTTAATAACAATAAACGCATGAATATTGCAATAATATTGTATTTATTATTCGAACGCAATCAACGGACAATTAATCATAAATTACGTTTTGTTTATTCAACTCTTTTCGCAGTCCGGACGAGCAATCCGTACTTTCTGTGCTCAGCCCTCCCCAACCACTGGCGCTCGAACAAAACCCTGCCGTTGGCCTTCAAGGTCGTGGCTCTGGCCGACGTCGGCGACGGCACGTATGTGACGATACGGGCCGGAAACGATGAGAACTGTTGTGCCGAACTCCGTAATTGCACGGCCCAAATGAAGAACGGAGTGGCCAAGTTCAATGATCTCCGCTTTGTGGGTCGCAGTGGACGTGGTAAGTACAACGTGGCGGAGAAATTCTGGCTTCGAAATACCTATCCGAAGATCTAGATCATAGTTCTGGGAACATCAAAGAAGTACTCTTCTTCTTTTAACAATTATAATTGTAATTGTGTGGATTCTCAAATTGTTCCATAAACTCAGACTTTTGAGGCAGTCCGACAAAACATATTGTTCAGAAAGATATAGTAGCGTAGTGACCTCTCTCTCTTTTCTTTCTATTTATACATAATGTAGGCTTTTATGATCTTCGTCTGCAGAATGAATGCTGTAAATATTTCCAAAAAATAATTTTAAAAATTAGTATACATCCTACAAGTATTACTAGATTTGAGTTGAAACCGTCAAATAATCTGTTATATTTTTGGATATAAGATACATTACAAAGATACCTTACTACCTTTGGTAGACGTCTTACAGATATTTTCCATACGTGGTTTGTCTTATAAACAAGGCAGCCAGGTGAACCAGTTGGAAATTTTTAGATTGCCATTTGGGGAATGACCCTGAGGCCTGGCTGCAGGGAACCTCTTTTTATCTCTCTCTCTCTCTCTCTCTCTCTCTCTCTCTCTCTCCCTCTCTCTCTCTCTATCACTATCTATAAACAAATGAACGAACATCAATTTTAATATTTGAATAATGCATACATAATATTTATTGGGTGGCTGTCAAATAAATCTATTACTTACTGATTTAATGAAAGTATCTGTTTGACAGTATACACTTCGGAAAGTATTTCCTCTAGTGGTACAAATACCATCATGAAGATTCTTTCAACGAAGTTAAGCCTTTTCAAAATGTCTATCCCAGCAAGTTGTCCAGCATGTATATTAAATTTTGATCATTTAGTTCGTCAGTATGAACGCTTCTAAATACTCGCGTCCTTGCGCCTTGGGGTAATTTCAAATTTCATATGATGCTGTGTTCACAAATAATCATATATATAATATAAAGTCAATATAAAATCAATATAAAAAAGTCAATATAAAATTTGCATCCTGATTTAAAACAACGATGTTTTTTAACTGTTTCAATTAAGTTTTAGCCCAGAAAGCAATCCTGTCCAATCCAATAGTTTCGACTTTGTGCGGGTACAGCATTTCAAAAGTGCTTTCAATAATTATCGCATCGCTAGCACTAAAATTTCTTATAATATTAGAGCGATCAGTGATATTCTAACCCTACTCTATATATTTATGGAAAGATCCAATTTGTTCCTTCTCGCGGTGTTTATTTAATCAATGGTAAGCGATTAGCTTATACTTTGATTTAAAAATTGAAAAAAAAATTTGAAACCAGACACCTATTAGAATGTTGTGTGTTATGAAAGACCTACAAGTATATACATAAAAGGAAGGTCATATTTTATGCAGCTTTTGTGAAGAAATCATATATTTTTCACCTCTTGACACGTACTCTTTTATTTATTTTTAATTTATTTATGTCAACAAACATTGATTGTCGACATAGGAGGTAAATATATAAAGGAAGAAGGAGAAATCTAATCAAATTACAATAATATCTAATTAACGCCTTAACCATCCTTAACCTTTCTATTTGTAAAAGATGATGAAGCTAAATTTATATATGTTTTTATCCTTGAAAATTTTTGTTCACGGCTGTTTTATCTATTTTCTAAAGGTATTCCGCGATATTACATATTTTTTAATTGATTCTTTGGTAAAATTATTTAAGGCACTGTAACCAAAAGCAGCTTGTCAGATTTCTTATTCTGTTTGAAGATCGAAATTAATTTAGTTTGCTTTAGCTTATCATCTTAGTTTAGCTTTTGAACTGCTCTAGAAAGTGAAGATTTTGACTTTACACCTAATGCTGTTTTTACACGATAGATTGGTTTCAGAAAAGACATTGATTATATGCAAAAATAGGTAATTGGTTCCTTATCTGTAAAACCAGTGAAAAAGCAAGGATTTATGTTTATTTTATTAAATCACATATACTTGTATAATGTGTTAAGGACCCTTTTAAGAATGGTTTCTAGCTGCTTGCCAGCTGTGTGTGTTTTTATTTATTTATTTTAGGTTATTTCGAATCGTGCTTTTTGAAATAAAGCCCTGGAACAATATATACATTTTTAATTTTAATTAATTATTAATTCCGTGTTAAATCAAAACTGTGTAAAGGAGACCGTGTAAAAACAGAATTAGTGTATTTGAGGAGCTCTAGTAGTTTTCAATTGTAATTTTTGTATTTATTTAAATTTGTAATCTCTATCCTAGCGTTACAGGTATTTGGTTACTTTTAAGTTAGTACGCTAGTCACTAAATATTAAGATCTATATCAATATACCTTAACAATACATATCTTATAATTTTATCTAAATACATTCAATTTAATCTTATTCTTATTTGTCACATTTTTTAATTTATGTATAATTTATGTATGTATATGTATATATATTTAAATTTAAAGTGTTTTTATTTTTGGCTCTTTTTTATTGTTATTACTTGTACATATTCTCTCGAAAGTGTGTATTAGTATTAGTATTCAATAATTCTAAAATGCATTTCACTGCTGATTATTTTTAAATTATGGGTTAACTCGTTTCACAGACAAACAGTGAATATGAAAAAGTGCCTTCTGAGCAGGATAATCTGTACCTAACGCAAACTAAACTATTAGTTCTTCTTGATGAAGTAAGTGCTATTTTGTCATACAGATAATTGGGTACTCTTCGATTTATGGTTCTATGCTAGAAAATTAGGGTCCTGAGTTTTATCCACGAGTTAATGTTGTTAGCGTATGTCGCTATTGGGTCTCTAGCTTCTTCACATGAAAGCTGAAACGGTTCGGTTCTTTTGCGAATCACAAAACAAGGATACATATACGTAGAATTGTGATTGAAGCTATTGTCGTCGAGAGTGCAGCGGAAGTGATTTGATTGAGTGATGTCGATCACTTGGTAGAGGAACAACGACAACAACAATAACAACTGACAGGCCTGCTCACAGCAGTCATCACATTAGTTCACCATATGTATGTAAGCACTCGACTGTGTTTGTGTGCGTGTGTGTGTGTGTGTGTGTGTGTGTGTGGTGCGTGTGCCTTGGTCTGCGGGCCTAAGGCGTCGGAACATGCAAGAAGGATCGCAAGATCGCCAGCTTGAGCGGCTCGAGAAGTTCAAAGCACCAATCCCTTAGAGCGTGTTGTGGCGTGCGGAACACTTTTTGGGCACCCTAAGCACACACACACACACACATACATACTTATATATGCAAGTGTGTGTGTATGTTTGCTTATTCATTTGATGTGTCACGCAATCTTTGGCCCCTAATCGATTTGAACTGCCTATCGCTACCTGAGCCTGAGTCCGAGTCCGAGCTCGGTCATGAGTCTGAACTTGAGTCTGAGCTCCCCTAGAACCCACAATTAATGTTTGCAACTATTGCATAGAATTGGCAGCAGTGGCAATAACAACAACAACAACAATAGCAGCAACAACATCGTTGGTGGCAGCAGCAGTTGGTTAATTAGCTGCAACTGTTGCCTCATGCCCTTTTGCAAATTGGCGGCTCGTGCCGGGCAGCAAATAATTATATGGACATTCAACAGCAGCAGTAACAGCAGCACCAGCAACAACAACAACAACAGCAACAAGGGCTATCATTACAACAACAATGCCAGTGCCAATGCCAAGAGAAATAACAACAAAAACAATCAGCATGCAAATAACACGCTAATGATGTTAAAAGGCATAAGCGCTGACCAAATTGTCAACAACAGAAGCATTTAATAAGCACGCCCACGCACACCTCCCTCCCCCTTACCTACGGCACAACAGGCAAGCATCTACGCCACGCCCCCCTTCCCCACACACCCAGCTAAAGAGCCAGCCCATGCCAATGGCAAAAAAGCGCGGACATCATGCAGCGTTTTCTGATTAGATGACAAAGCGCATGACGGCTAAAACAAAACGCGCCGAGCGTTGATGCCGAGAAAGAGAGTGTGAGAGAGAGAGAGAGTGAGAGAGAGAGAGGAAGGAAGGGAGGTAGAGAGAGCAGAGCAGAGCAGAAAAGCAAAGCAAAAAAATAAAAAAATAATGAAATAAAGAAAAGCCGAGAGGACAGTTAAATGGACTCAGGGTTGCTCCTTTAGCGATGCTGTTGCGGCTGCTATCAGGGGCGTAGCTAGCCGCAAGGCTAGAGGGGATTTTCATTAAACACGCCATTTACAATTACAAAAAAAATGTCATCGACAAGAATTTTCGCCAAAAAAAATGAACAAATCGAACAAATTATTAAAACCTAATAAATCGGGCTCCAACCAATTCCAACCCCTGTTCCCTTGCGACTACGCCCATGACAGCTGTTGTTGTTTTTGTTGTTGCTGCTATTGCTGCTGCTGCTGACCGCTGTGGCGGCGGCCCGTCAACATTCTTGATATGTTTTCAATTTCATTTTTTAATGTTTGTCATTATTAGCTGTTGACCAGAGAGTGGGCAGAGAGGGAGCGAGTGCTTCCAAGCATATGGCGGCTTTTAAAACATTTAAATGAGAATGCAATGCGAGAACCCCAGCATCGATGCTCTGTTATCTTATCTGACTTATCTTATCAATGCTCAGAGCTAATGATATCAAAGGCTTACAATTTTTGCTGTTGTTTTTCTTGTTGGTGGTGTTGTTGTATTGCAAGGACCTAAAAGGATTAAATTGTGCTAAATGAGTGGCACGCGCCTTTGGAATTCATAAGTCCCTGCCTAAGTCGTGGGGTGAACGGTATCTGGTTATCTTTATTGGCTTTTGTTTATTTAAGTAGTTTCTCGTCGTTGTTGGAAAACATTGTAAGATGTCTGTGTTACTTGTAGGAAGAACATGGTACGATTTCGTAGACAAAACAAAATTACTTTCGAACCAGCTTTGTTGCTGGAACTGTAAAGTCTATTTATCTATTAATATATAAGTTTTCTTGCTTATAAAATCCTTGATTATATGACTAGCCCAAAGCAGTAAAGCGAGAGAGCTGAAAATTGTGAAG